GGTGAGTGTTTGAACACACGATCTGCGCTCACACCAGTGTGCCAAAAACGTGCGGTCATCCAGATAGTCGGCGAGGCCCGTGTGAGCTTCATTCACATCATCGTTCAAACTGGTTTCGGATAGACAACTGGAACATACGTCGTTGTGGGTGTACTACAGAGGGAGTAACAGTGCACTTACGGAGAAATGCGTGATAACCTGCCATCTGGTCAACATATGAGATCAAGCAAGATAAATTTTTTCGGCGCCAGTCGCATGCTGACGATAAAGATGAAGCTTGTTCACTTACCCATACCAGTTTTCCTGATACATACTGTTCTTCAACATACCGAGAATTAAGGACCCCAAAATGACACCTGTTAAAACACTTGCTTACGAAGCGGATTTCAAACCCATGTCCATCAGCCACGCAGTACAACATGGGAATAGAGCAGCTGCGAAACAACAGCACTAAGGAAACAATAGTACGGAAGTGGAAGAAGCAAGATGACCTGCTCCAAGTAAGGAAGAAAAAGAAGAGTTTCTGAGGGAACAAAGCAAGAAGGCCACAGTGAGAGGACAAAATTGATCAGTGGATTAATGAACAGCAGGGAGAAGCCTCTCTACAGTCTCCATTCGATACAAGGCAATAGCAATGGCAGTGATAAGAAGATGAACGAATTTTAATGAGGTCCTTCTTGATGCTTTCATTTAATGAAAAGGCTTCATCTCTCGAGGCAACGGCCAAAGGATGGGGAGAAAAGGTGGTCATCTTCTGCACTTACTGCAAGAACAATATCACTGCAAAGAAGATCCAACCAGACCACATCACAAATATGGACGACGTTCCCCTCAGTTTTGACATGCCCGTGAACCGTACTGTTGAAAAAGCAGGAAGGTCTACTGTATCAATGCGCACCACAGGGAAGGAGAAATCATTCTTCACTGAAGCTCTCTGTTGTTAGGCTAATGGCCATGATCATTTTTAAGAGGAAGAATTTGCCAAAGAAAGGTTTTCTGTTGGAGTCATCGTCAAGGTCAACTCAAAAGGCTGGATAGACGAGAAGAATATGAGCGAGTGACTGAGAGAAGTTTACGTCAGGAGACAGGGTGGCTTTTTCCACACATCCCTGTCCTTATTGATCTACGACTCCATGTGCGCCCATCTCACCGTAACAGTTGAAAGCCAAGTGAAGAAAACTAATTCAGAGCTTGCCATCATTCCGGGAGGATTAACAGAAGAACTCTAACCACTAGATATTAGTGTCAACAAGGCGTTCAAAGTGAAATTGCGAGCTGCGTGGGAGCATTGGATGACAGCAGGTGAGCATACATTTATCAAGACAAGGAGGCAACGCCGAGCTAGTTACGCCACTAGCTGCCAATGGACCGTCGATGTCTGGGCAAAGGTATCAGTCACAACTGTTGTCCGAGCTATCACAAAGGCCGGAATCATCAATGAACAGCCATGGAACAACACCGAGACTGACTTAGATGACCGCGAGAGGGTTCCGGGCTAGCGTGATGTCGCTATCGCACGACTGATAAACTCCAATACTGAAGATGAAGAATTTGACAGACTTGCAAAAGAGGAATGGTTGAAAAATTGAGTGTATTTTTCTGTTGTTCATGGGAACAATATTAACAGTTATCATTAACGAGTTGAATTAAGTCTGACCGATATGACCATATTGTTTCGTTTATTGTGACTTGTAATCCGTTGCGTCATACATATGAAATCACATCTGTTCACTGATACTGCGCTTGCGATCCGGTGCGCCTTGTCTTCAGAAAAATACAGTACTCGCTTTGTGTTGATTTCACCGAAGCATATGATACGGTGAACCGCGAGACATTGTGGCTGGTGTTGGGTAAGTTTGGTAGTCCGACTAAAGTTGTAAGTTTAGTTGAATGTCTGCACAGTCGTATGCGGGCGAAGATGTAGCTGAGTGGAAAGACCTCAGATGACTTTGCAGTTGTTTTTGGTGTGAAGCAAGACCGCAAACAACGTATAATGCGGGTAACACTGAATAGGCATGCGCAACACGTGTCCCAACCACCGCAGTTGATGCAGTGAGACGAGCTCCTAGAGCAAGTGGCTTCCGCGTCTCAAGACACGCTGACTAACTTCCACATTCCTAACGTGGTGCTGCCATCACACACGGGCAATGGACCGCAGACAGCGCTGCGCAAAGACGGATAGCCTGCGTAAGTCATCTTTACGAATGGGCTGGGTCTCGCATCCGTACAACAGTACAGCACGAACAGTTGCACAACAGACCCGCCCTTTGATGGAGAGACGAATGTCCTGGCGACGTCACAAGCGCCTCAGGAAATAGAAAACCGGGAGTTCGGCTATTACTTCCATCAGTTTCGAGAAATGCGTCGTTTGTGACGACAAAGAAGACATAAAAGAGCACTTGCTCAGCTGCGAAACGGCAAGTGTGCCGGTGCCGACAGGATCCAAACTGGAATATTGAAAATCGGTGGACCCGCGTTGGTGAATGCGCTGCACCAGTTGGTGCAAGCACCTGAATTGAAAAGAAAATGCCTCCTGAGCTGAAGGATGACCTTGTACAACCACTGTACAAGGGCTAAGGAAGCAAACAATGTACTACGAATTATCGTGGTATCAACTTACTGAGTTGTTTGAGCAAGATGATTGCCGAATCCTGCTCAACCGCCTCGTCAGTCATTTTGTGGAACCGAACGTGGCGGAAGAGCAGTGTGGATTCCATTCGAGTCGCAGCACCATCGATACGATGTTTGCGACTCGTCAGTTGAAGTAGAAGTGTAGAGAACGACACTAACCGTTGTTCTCGCTTTTTGGTAACTTCACCAAAGCATTTGATACGGTGAACCGCGAGGCATTGTGGCTGGTGTTGGGTACGTTTGGTTGTTCGAGTAAATTTAGTTGAATGTCTGCGCAGTGGTATGCGAGCAAGGGTACAGCTGAGTGGACAGACCTCAGATGATTTTGCAGTTGTCTCTGGTGTGAAGCAAGACCGTGTCTTAGCTGCTGCCCTGTCTAATATTTATCTTCATGTCCTGCGCTCTTGATGGGGCTTGTGCTTACGGTGTTCGTGTGGTGCAACGTATGTTATGGTGGGTTGCTGAACATCCGTCGTTTTGGTGCGATAACCCTAGTCTGTGAGACAACTATCCGTATATTGCTGTTCGCTAACGACTGTGTTGTTTGCACACAGCGCAGATGAGTTGCAGCGTATGACTAGTGCTCTGGCTTCGACAGCGGCCAAATTCGGGCTCACCATCAACGCAAGCAAAACTGTATGTCTCTTTCAGCCTTCACCAGAGATGCAGTCTAAAATGGTGCCGCAATTCATCATTAATGATGACGTATTGAAAATTACCTCTTGCTTCTGTTACCTAGGGAGCGTGGTGTCGACTGATCAGCAGCTACAAAATGAGCTGCGTATCCGGCTCTCGAAGGAAACGGCGGTGTTCTGGAAACTTCAGTACCGAATGTGGAACAACCACCAGATTACGGTTGGCACGAAGCTGATGGTGTACAAATCCGTGATGCTGTCCGTTCTTCTGTAAGGCAGAGATATGTCGACGATGTACCGGCGAGATGTGAGATATCTCGAGCGGTTTCATCAACAGTATTTGCGACGGATTTTGCGCATTGCTTGGTGCGATAGAGTTGCGGACACGGAAGTGTTGTGCCGAAGTGCAACGTATGCAGTGGACTGCATACTTTTGCTGAGACACCTTATGTGGCTCGGTCATGTGTGGCGTGCGGATTCGATGCGGATACCGAAGCAGCTATTATATGGTTAGCTGAGTGTTGGGAAGTGATATATGGAGAAACCGAAGCTTTGTTACCAGATGATGATGATAGTGAGCCTCTCACCTTCGAACCTTGATTGCAGGTCATGGGAATCGAAAGCGGTTGATCGGCGTGTATGGCGCGATCTGATCACGCAGGTAGATGACGAGGTGCAAGAGAAAGCCCTCGTGAATGTAGAGAAGCGACAATTTCGGAAGCGGTGGGCGCCGATGGGTTGTACCTCATCGACATCGAGCGCATGGTGCTGTAGCATATGCGGTCGCGAGTGCCTGTGTCAGGCAGGCCTAGTGAGCAATGAGCAGTGCGATTCGAGACCAGCCTCAAACAGACGAAGGGTACTGCCGATAACGTATGCAGAATCGGCGCAAGGGTTGTAGGTACGCTGCATTCGATTTACTAACCACGTGCTTGCGTGCTGAGACCATTTAATTCAGGTGGTGGGTTTGCTATATTGTCCTAACGCTATTTTGTCTCATATTAGTGTCTACTTGAATTGTTTTCTATACACTTGCACAAATAAACTTAACCACTCTAGTTAACTTCGATAACATTGTCGCGTTCGTGGCATTATGTTAAGATATAATTTACGACGTCTTGAACTTATCGCGGAATTGTTAGTAACCAATTCATTTTATATGCACATTGAAGTTAGATCATCATATACGTATGCATTATTCGATTTATTATATTTGATAATAGTTCAAGTAATTGGCTGTTGCTTGATATCCACGGTGTGGCTGAGCCTGATGTGCATGTTGCCAAGGTGTCTACCTGTCAATTACCCACTACCTCGTCCATACTGGGTCCAGGAGACAGTTGGTCATTGCTGGAGGGGACGGGGTGCACGGTTCTTGTGGCCGTGCTAGGCTCAAAGAGTGGTTCCATGCACTCAGTGTGGTGCGGACTGCCACCGCCTTGTGCGCTATTGAGTCCCAACTACAGCGTGCTTGTGTTTGCCTGTGAAGGAGTGTGGGCCGGCTCCGTTGACGAAACGTGGCCCCCATCCGCATGCCTCTCGGTCTTATTCCTTCGGGTTTACACTGGATATGGGGTGTGTGGATGGAGCTGTGGGTGATGCAGCGCAAGCTACCCATCCCTCTGTAGGCGCAGGCGTCCTGTGGCTGGCCACAGTGACAGGCAAATCCGAAACCGGATGCCGCCAACCGCATATGCAAAAAGTTATCGCAGCTAAGAAAGAATAAACACATACCTCAAGTCCGAATTTGTAAAATCCGAAATTGATTGCAAATTTCACCACGTTGCGCAGGTCGTTATCGAGGGATTGCATAGTCACATGAGAGAACACGATGCCCTCCCGCGGTCTTTCGTTGCATGGTTTGTTGTAGAACTGTCGCTGGCGATAAATGATCGCGTGCCAACTGACACAAACGGCCATAAGTGATACTGCTGGCTACAAAAGAATGACGAGAGAAGACTGAGAATAGCGAGAATCGAGCAGAATTATTATGCAGCTAGAAAGAGGAACCAGGACGACAGCAAGAAAAGGAAATGGTGTTCGGGCAAATGTATCCCCTCGGTAGACCTCACTAAATGAAGTTGATGAGGGTTCAGAGTTTAGTTCAGTTAACAAAGTACCGAAATGTGGTGGATCTAGCTGCCATGACTTGCGTCGCCATGACAACGATAATTAACGAGGGAAACGGGGCTGAAAAAGTGAGTAGAGGCAATCCAGATGGAATATTCACAGCTAGATGCAAGAAACCGAATGCAGGAACGCCACATAGGGTTTCCAACCACTGAGATGAGCCACCCTGAGGCCCCATATACAAGAAAAACGCACGAACTAGCTTGATCAAAGCTTTCGGTTAAGTTCTTCAAACATTTCTTCTACGTCGTCCACTTGCCACCTCAAGTGCCAGTCCAAATAGATGCGACGATGGCATATAGTGCATGCCGAAGGAGGAATTAACGGACTTAGGGAAAATATGTCCTGTGCTAGTAGGTGGTCGTTTGGGGGAAGGTTACCGAAGCGGCTTAGAGGGACAGAAGACCACTCCCTTGTCGCAGTCGCGAACTGAACACGATTACACCAGCCGGAAAACAAAACAAAAGTGGTTAAGTTAGTAGTGAATGCAATGCTGCTTGGACAGAGACGAAGTCTTGGTGGGTTGTCTTGAACAGCGAACAGCGAGTGCGCACCAACGAGACAGGCTAAATGACACGCGATGCAATACTCTGTCGGTCCACGGAACGAACGCAGGCGACGGCCAAGCGATTCAAGTGTCGCCCATGCGGGGTGGCTAGTCACGCGGACCAGACGGGCGGGGAAGGATTGGTGCAACCAAGCAGGAGTTAAATTCATTGTGACCAAGGTAGAGCACGAGTAGGTTGAACCGAGTGTATCGGATGAACAGCGTGTGCAAGTCAACTATCTTTGCTGGACGGCAAAGGACGCGATAATGAAAAGGACCAGTAAAATACCGTCGCAACTCGAGAGTGTACCAAATTTCGTATGGTATAATTGATTCTATGCTTTACAAATAACAGACTTTGATAGTTGACAAAATCGGTTTTGGCGCTTGGAGAGTTACTCGGCATGAGCTATCTAATGTAAGCGGTCACGGTTCAATAAACGCTACAGTGATGTACCATAGGATTTCTTTAAACAACAACTAAGACTTCAGTATTGTTCCCCGGGTGTTTCGACAAAATGTGAGCAATACTTGGTAAGGACTATTTGATCAAATGAGCCAAAGCGAGTGCGCATGGGCCCAGAAAAAAGAAATACGCATGCAGGAATGTAGAACCCGGCGTTTAGTGCCCAGACGTGACAGAAAGATAATCTAAACCGTCAGCAACAAATATCGGGTAGCGGGATAAATTTCGCAGAAGTGCGAAAGTTCGTAACACCAGCGTTACCTTTAAGACTAACGACGATGTCCCAGCCAACTATTTGCCAACAAACCGATGCGAGTAGACACATTGACGGTACAAGGTTCACAACACAACTAGATTCGTGCGTGCTGGTTGCGGAAGATTGTTCGCTTAAGCGATGGATGCGTGGGCCAAAATCAACAACGCTATTGACACGAAGGTTGATGACGAAAACAAATGCACGCCAGACACAGAGGACAAAACAGATATGGAACATGACAACTGTATCACCAAGGACCTCCCACGATTGCATATTTCAGCAGACGCGCGAGGCAGGACAATGAGAAAAAGTGAATAGACTTATAAAAGAGGGGCCCTTGAAAAAGCACCCCCTGTAATATTTGTCCTAGCGCTAGCGGTTAGTACACAACAAGATTAAAGACGCTTGCATCAAGGTTGGCGCGGAATGATAAACCTGAGAAAAAGAGTGAATAAAAATCATTACGCAAAGACAATGTGTAAGCTACGATCGATGAAATAGCGCAGGGCCGCTTGGGTATAGACAAAGTCGAAACGGAATGTCTCAAGCAGTGAACAGCGCGTGTGCACCAAATAGAGTAGCGTAACGACACGAGATGCAATAGTCTGTCGGGTCAGGGAGCAAACGGAGGCGACGGCAAAGGCAGGGATCGCTTCCTGAGCTGATCTTCGGTGGGATCAGCTAGAAGTCGTACAGAAATTTAGCTACCTAGGCAGTTGTACCAGAGCCTGTCGAATCGCGAATGAGGTCAGAAACGGTGCGGCAACAGCTCGAAGCGCGTTTGTTAAGTTTAACCACATATGGCACCGACGGAACATCACTCTCTCTCTCCGAAGGGTAGAGTGTACAATGCAACCGTACATTCGACCCTACTGTATGGCTGTGAAATCTGACCCATTAGATCAGTATCTAGGTATGTCCAACCACCGGTGTCTTCGCAGTTTGGCTCATATCTAATGGGAACACCGTGTGAGCAATAAGCGTATTTGAAGCCTTGTTCATGGCACAGGAAGAGGAAGTAAACCGTTCAGCACTGTTATTTCAAGTACCAGGCCCCGATGGCTCGGCCACGTGTTGCGGATGCCAACCCACCGACTCCAGCGACGTACGTTGTTTGCGTGCCGGGAGTGTGGATGGAAGAAGAGAAAGGGCAGCCAAGCGATGACTTGGTCAAGAATGAAGGCTCTTACTTCGAAGTTGGCCTCGGTTTGAGCCACTAACTTCTCTGGTTGAAATCGGAAAGACAATGAAGACGTTTGGCTGGATACACTTGTTGATATGGCTAGGAACTGACCTCAATGGCGTTAGTGTTGTGAGTTTCTGTGTCCCTCCACCTGCCGCTTAGTCTCCCGTTCCAACCACGATCTCATTGCTTAGGCATGATACAACTTTCTTTGACGCACAACAGCCGGTTAGTACTTTTCTGAACCGATGCACATTCGTTACAGGTGGCTAAGCTGGTGTGTCTATTGCGTGCATTTGTTATGTATTACGGCAGAGTAGCTGAAGTGTTTGCCACCTCTAGTTAACGTGTATAATGATGAGGATGATAAATGAAAAAGCTGGGTCCAAGAACGGCGTGCAACGAAGACAGTGAAACGAGAGCAGATAAGACATACCATAATGTATTGAGTGAAATTTGGTACCTTCACCAAGCCAATCCAAGTAGCGTTCTCAATATGATACGTGATATTTAGCTGTTGAGAAAGGAAAGAGTGAGGTGACATGAGACAATCAAAGAAAAGGTATCAATGTGGACAGTTTGTGAAGTGTAGAACGTTAAGAAGACAGCGGTGATCCCGCCAATCACGCGCAGTTCGAGTAAACGTATGGAGAATGCTAGATCCGAATGCCGTATAAGCACTAATTGCGTGGGAATCGGAGGACAAAGTTCAAGGAATCTGAAAAAGAGCGACCTCAAGCGTTTGACTGAATTAAGATGGAGCATCTTATGAGTATGGTGCCAGAAGAACTAGTTAGAGTGGAATGGATAGAAAGTGTCGCGGAACACGTAAGTAATTGGTGAGTAACAAGGAATAAGCTCACGAAAGACGGATACATCAAAAGCTCGTAGTGGGAGAGGATAAAGGCAAGAAGTATAGGATAACACACACGTACCGGTGGTGGTTCACAGGTGACATTGATATTGAGTTGGATAAAATTTAACTGAAAGCACATCTTGCAGAAAGTCATCAATCCCGTCCACAGAAACATCATCGTGGCCAAAAATCCGTGCAAATAGGGGAACGGAAAGCAAATGACCATCAAAACAAGGGAGACCAAGTTCGGTGCGTTGACCTACATGAGGGAAAATAGAAAGTATCAAAAAGACGAGGGCGAAATTTTTGAATGAGCGTATCGTCACACTGGCTAATTAAATTTAGTAAGTGGTGTCCGACTTGACCGAAAGTAACCCGATAAACGGAATCCTGACAGGACGAAGGAAATATCGATCCATAAAGAGAAGTGCAATAATGAACGAGTACAGTGAATGTTGCTCTCCCACATCTTGGATGTTGGGACAAGCAAAGAATCCGCGCATTGCCTATACACATGAAAAGCGTCCCAATGACGGGGAATCACATGGCATCGAACCTAAGCGAGAAACAAAAGACTACATGCAGACCATTGCCAGGCCATCAGCACCAACATCACGAACACGATGACGAATATGAAAACACTAGGAAATGATGCCGTCGGGTGCGGCTATAACTGACAACTAAGGCTTTCTACTCATGAGTAGAAGGATCCGATGAGAATGATTTTAGGTCATAGCAACTAGATTACAAGGTAGATGGGCAGATAATCACTATGAAAAAGCACCAGATGGCCGTTTCGTACTGTTGAGACTCGTCAGTGGTGCGCATTCCCCCGGTCTCCAAGAGGATGGGAAGGCCATCTGGTGTTTTTCCGGATTGCTAATCGACCTAGCTGGCTTCCAAGCTAATTACGATAAAGTAGAGGAATGTTGAAAACAGGCATTTGAGTGGATCAAAAACAAATACCCCGTCATGGTCACGACAAGAGGTGAACAGAGTTCAGTAAAACAAAGATTCAAGCCAGATGAAGTCCTTTTATGGTCTTCGCCGTTTGATATCATCAACAAAAACATTGAACAGGCAGTTGGATTAGGAGGCGGCCGAACCAAAGGCACCAGATGACACATGAAATGGACCTGATCACAGAACGGTGAGTACAAGCCCACGGTACAAGTGAGAAATCAAATCTATGAATCATCGACGATCCCAGAGAGCTACAATGACTATGGAAAAATGCCATAAGAACAGCTTCGCTAGAGTCAACAAAACTCTTCGAACAGCTCTTAGTCAGACGCAAAATATGTTCGGTTGGCAGCGATAGACCGTCATTAAGATGTGTCCGACTTCTTTGCAGGGGAAGGGCTGTACTCAAACATCGGGTCCCTGAGCATACAATTCGAGCGAAGGTTTATTTCAACGCGACAAGTAGCGGGAATTTTAGCAAGGCACACATGTCACTCGTTAATCGCGTAAAGACAATCCCCGTTGTTGAGAGCAACAATAGTGCAGGAAAAAAATCGTCAAATCATTTCTGCATACAAGTAAAGCGCAGAGGAGAGTAAAGCGACAAGAACCAAGTGGCTTAATGTCTGGAAAAACATGGTAGGAATTTGTGGGGAAAACAAGTTATTCTAAAAGTAGCAGAAGCAGGCCGGAATGGCGTCAGACTAGTGAACACTAAGCGAATGTTAGCGAACTTTATATATATATATATATATATATATATATATATATATATATATATATATAATGTATATAAAGCATCTGGAAGATGTCAAGCCGAAATGTAAAATTGCAAAACTATCCGTGTGAAAGCAGTTCCTGGAACAATGTTTAAATGTGAACCGTTTCCCCGCGGCCTATCGCAAGTCTACGGGCGCAGAAACTACGGTCAGACGCTAGGAATTCCAGGCGAACGATTAGGTGGTTTCTCGAGGAGAGTATAGCGAAGCACAAATAATATCCCGAGATGTACTTGGCCAGACGATCGGTAATCGGTAACTGCAAGTTTGTAAACTGGTGTCGCCATCTAGATCTGGACTGAAGGTTTTAAGGGCCGGCGGACCTTTAAATCGACCGTCACCATTTCACTGGAAAACCGTTTTAATTTATCTGCCGCGGATTCAACAGTCTTCACAGGATATTATTGACATGTGCTTAGGTTATACTATTGCAAGGTCACAAGCGCTGTGCTATGCTGATTTTTAAAGCGTTCTCTGAGATGCTGAGATATATTTATCAAATGCGCTTTTGCAACGTAAAGAACCATCATCCCGATTGACGAACTGGGATGCGACACTGTCACTTCAACAGAAAGAAAATGCCAATGATTCACGTTTTCCATGGAAATTATTACATATATATACGGGCCATATCCGGGTGACACCTGTGCATCCGATGCCAAATTTCCACCGATAAAATTGCGTTTCTAAATTTGTTATTTTAATCCATCCGCGGTAGCTCCTGTAAAATGCTGAAAACGTACTCCTGCGGGTAATTAAAGCCTTTACTGACTTGACTAATTCGCTGAATCACAAACTGTTTGAGCATAGTTTTCCATTTGAATTAATCTCCCCTCTGTGCCACTGACCATGTTACAACTAGAAGCTCTGTCATATGGGTTGAAATGTTGTGTTCCACCAGGAATAATCAAAAGCATAGAAACCAAGATCAAACAGAGGTGTTTTATAAACAACTTGGACTTATAGCACCCTATAAAAATAACGGGTGGCGACCTAAAGCGAAACACGTGAATTTGGAACACGAGGATGAAATCTCTAGCTCTGGACAAAGATCTCCCATCGAAGCCAAACATTTAGAGGCTCTAAAACAACAGATCAAAAGCAAAGGTGGCTATCCTTTACCCAGACAAAGGTTGGCGTCCAGTGGTTTTAGACAAATCGGTGTATATAGAAAAGATGTCGGCGGTACTAAGCGACCCCACCAAAGTTCGAACCAGATGGTACGCCTAACAACTCAGTGGAGTTAGAGAAAAGAATAAAGGCGAGACTGCAAACGTTGTTGGAAGGGGAGTTCAGAAATGTCGCAACTGCAAAATCCTTAAGACCCAGGGGCACTCAGACATTGCAGCTTTATGGGTTTCCGAAATTGCACAAGGTGGACATCCCTCTGACGCCGATTCTATCCATGAGCAATTCACCACACCACAAGCTAGCTAGGTGGTTAGTAACACACTTTCATCCAGTAAAGCGATCAATGGTTAAACATAATCTGAGGGATAGGTTCGAGTTAGTTGAACATCTGGACGCTATGGTGCTGCGCGAAAAATCCATGGCCAGCATTGATATTATCTCACTGATTACCAAAGTGCCACTAAACGAGACGATGCAGATTACCTGTAATCACGTGATCGAGAATCAACTAGAAGTGTGCATTCCAGTCCCGGAATTAGAATGACTTCTTTTGTTATGTACATCAGATGTCAAGTTCTATTTTCAAAAACAAGGCTATTGCCAAGTGGATGGTGTCGCAGTCCACTTTGACTAGTATCAGCAGAAGTTTTCGAGGCTCATCTTTGGAAGCAAGTCAGGGAAGAGATCCGTAGATATGTGGATGACATTTAGTTAATCTGCGACAGGGAGGACCAGGTAATGCAAATGGTTACAAAATTGAATAACCTGCATCCAAACGTCCGAGTGACAGTGGAACGCGAACAACAGGATACCCTACTATTCCTTTACATCCTAATAGAGCGTAGTAGAGGCAGCACAATATGTAGACCAATAGACCGCAAACCAAGATGGAAGGGACAGTAGTTGAACTTCGACAGTTTTGTCCCTATGCGGCACAAACAAGAGTCTGGAAAAATATGCACTGCTGACACTCTGGAGCAAAGGTTGCGGTTGATAACCCACACCCTCGTAGATAATATGTACCCACCGTCTTTCATCGCTCAGTTTAGTGCTGTGAAACCGAAGAAAGTGTGCCCACGGTACCGAAATTGAAAGTAACCCTGCAACTGTCATTCAAGGGAGATGACCTATGCCAAGTATTTCAGCGCAGATTGAAATCCGCAGTGGCGCGCGTATACCATGCGGTGGAACCAGTACTCATCTACACAACGAATCGATTCCCTACTCCGTCGGTTAAACTCCCGCTGTTGTTGTCCAGCCGTTCACACATTTTATACCAATTTGCATGTATTTGGAAGGCCGAATACGTGGGCATGACAGAACGACGATTGAGGGTGAGGGTCGCGGAGCACATACCGGCGTGGATGAGTAAACATGTTTCGCAGATGACCACGTGCGCCACCCCGAACGCGCAGCCAATGAAGCCAGTGTCACCAATCCACCGCCAGCTGCTGGCTGACAATCATTATGTAGACCTTGTGAGTCCTTTCCGTGTTATCTATACCTCTATGAAACCCATAACTTTGCGATATACTGAGGCCATGACCATCAAAAAACTTCGCCCAACTCTGTGTGTACAGAAAGACGTATTTGTGACCCTTGCTCTGCCGTGGTAGCGGGCCCGGAACGGATGACAAGGCAACAGTATGTGTGTGTGTGTGTGTTCAATTTAGTAAATTGTAACTTCAACTTTCCTCATTTCATGAATCTAGAAATTTAAACGTCCGTAGTACACACCTGAATATATATATATATATATATATATATATATATATATATATATATATATATATATATATATACACGTCTGGCAGTGAAGGATGTGCCGCGCTATATCGTAGTCAAGTGTCAGTCATGCAGGCCCGCCACCGTCACGCATGGCTTAGTGGCACAAGCTGCTGGCATCCGGAACTCATGGGGTCGGAACCCAGCAGAGGACCGAGGAACGCACACAGTTGACGAGACCCAGGTCGAAAAAGGTGAATGGCACTTTTTCAGAAGTGTGGAAAGCTGCAGAACTGAGGGGACTGCGACAAAGTACACTTAAATTTACACCAAAAGTCCCATCAATCATCAGTAACCAAAGGGCATGTAGATATGTTTACAACAGGGAACAGCAATTACGTTGAAGCACTAAAGAGGTATCAGGAGAAAAAAATTAAATAAAGGCATCGAGGGTACATAGTTTCGGGAATACAGAACCGGTGTTATGGTTTTGAGCGAAGCAATGTATATATATATATATATATATATATATATATATATATATATATATATATATATATATATATATAACACGTTCGTAATTTTGAATCCCCATTGCTTTCGGTTTTCCGTGAATTTACTACTTTTACGCTCGTCTCGTATCATTCACCGTCACAACCAACTTCGTAGGGTGACTTTTCAGGCCAGTGATACTCCTGATGTTGAAATCATTTAAACGTGTTTATGCTCGCTGTTTTCATTGTGGTACTATGCCAAATGTGCTATTGACAAGGTGTTGAATATATATGGGGAAAAATTACGAACGCATTGTAGTGTGGAGATTAGTTCGCTACTTTGTATAGTCAAAGTTGGTTGGTATCGCATAAATGGGATTAAGTCAAGAAGTCTAGCGAAAAGAACTGAGGTTTAAAGCCTAAGCATTAGTGACACCAAGTGTTGGGACAAAAAAGCGAGCAAAACCAGGTAATCTCCGTAGTGTGTCTAGACGTGCACTTGTTCACAGATAGATTCCAGTGGGTTCCTTATAGTAAGGGTGGTACAGAAGACACATAAGACACACAACGGATTAAGAACGCCGTGGCAAGAAAGGTTAGGAAAAGATTGTAGTAGTTGGTAGGTTAAGCAGGCGGTGTACACATAACGCGGTCGGCCCACATACCTCACTGACTGAATTGAGGAGGGTCAAAAGAGCCACCAATTTGATCCAGTGCACCTCGAGGAAGCGCCAGCAGCAGTTGGAAAGGCTGATTGCCCAGCTGGTTAATTTGGAGGCGATCACGTGGAAGGCAGAATTAACGTCCTCAATGAAATCTGGGTCAAGGTCAACGAACGAGAGGTAGAATATGTGAGCCGCTGTGTAAACAAGATGGTTCGGAGTAACGTAACACGGCAAAGTGGAGCGGTAAACAAAAGAAAGACTCCCGAAGGGTGGGACCAGTTTGTGCTCGGACGAAGCGTATAAGCAAACTGTAGATGGTTTTGAAACAAATCGGTTTCAACATAATTTTTGAACAACGCAAGCTGGTCCCATGAGAATGAAGGTGTGTAGTCCGAAGTTATGCCATCATGAAAACATTCTGCGTGAAACTCGACAGTTACCAGAACCCAATAATGACCATGTTTGCAACGAGAAAAACACCCAGTGTATTCTCCCAGGATAGATCGAAGAAATATAGACAGTGGAGAAACACAGTCACATAAAAACCAATAGAAACGGCTTATCGCAGAATGTAACAACGCGGTTGTAAAGAGGTCTCTTTTCGGCAACTCACATCAGGCAAATACGTGTATAAGATAATTGGCAAAAGCACAAGCTAGTGAAAGCTGAAGACAAAGTGGTGGCGAGTCTCAATTTATACGAATGAAGTTAAATTGATTAGCTTTCACAACTGAGAAACACTGTGACGAAGGACGGAAATTAGTCTGCGAACGAAAATCCGGGTATTCTCAGCAATCATTTGTGCCATTTTACTCTACGGTTGCTAAACATGGCCGCTAAGATAAGAAGATACGCGGAAGTTGGAAGTATTCGACCACTGATGTCTAAGGGTTATCTTGAAAATGAAATGGCATGGCGAATTTCGTAAGCGCTGTCACGATCTTCCGAAGCTCCCAGCGCATATCCAAATGCCGCAGACGTCAGTGATTCGGTCACGTCCTCCGCAGACCAGACACAGACTTCATTAAGGTCGTGATTTCGCCTTCGACTTACCAGGGTTGGTGTCGTCGCCGCTGTGGTCAAATGAAAAGGTGGCTCGCTGCAGCTAAATCGGATGTCGGCCTTCTGGGACTCCAGGTTGTGCATGGTGCTCGTCACTGGAGGAATCACTGGATCAGTATCTGCGTAGAGCTTGCCGTCGACCACCTCACTTGGATAGCTGCAAGCTGCGACATTCATGAAGCCGGCTCATCCTGTCGCTGGAATTAGCCGCAGTGAAGTAAAGTAAGCAGATCGATTGGCTCATGTGGAGGGAGCCAGTGTTGTTGATGAAACCTGACTTAATTTGACCCTACTTGACAGAGCTCGCTGACCTCTTCATAAAATAAATAAAACCGGACGAGAAGATTCACCTACGATCTTAATCAGTGCTCGATGCGGATAGTTCATCATCTCGCTCACGGCAAATTGGGAGGCTGCAACAACATCCTCTGCTTACAAAGCTCTGGCTGCGTTAACTTGATCGCTATCAATTCAGCTATGTTTAAGAGGCGCCGCCAAAGCTCCTTAGGATATTGTTTCGGCACGGTATAGAAAACGTTGAAGACATTATCGGTCAGGATTTGGTGTCCACTTGGAAACAGATGCTCCGGAGGTGTCTTTCCGCAGAGAAGCCGGGGATAGAACTCAGCTATCCGTGTCGAAAGACGCCTGGTCCGTGTGTTCGAGATACTTAGCACCGCAAATGCACAGCAACACATGCACTACCTAATCCTTATCACACATACGCAATAGCGTAATAAGGGCCATATATGAGGATTTATTCCTATTAAAGAAACAGTCTCTCGCGTACCCAAGTAGGATACATATCATCACCATCATTGGTGTTACTAATTTGCTGAATTCCAAAAGCTGACATATGTATGACGCACACCGAGCCCACAGCCGAAAACAATTACTGAGTAGAGTAGAGTAAGCTGGTCGCAAGACAATGGCTGATAGTTCTTCAACGAACAACCAAGGCGCAAACAAACCAAAGGCGCCGGAGAGAACTAGCAAACTATAGAGTAACACGAAGTGATTGAGGCAACGGGGAGTTTGCAAAGCGCAACAGTGTGTGCGTGCAAACGAAGACGTGATCTGGAGGCGCGAGAGAGTGGCTACTGGATAAGAACAAGCAGATGAGTGCGGCCGTCAGCCAACGGACCGGCGGCAGTTCATGCTTGTGCAGCAGGAAAAGATCAAAGTACTGAAAAAAGGGTTAATCAGGATGAGTGATCACGGTGAGTAACCAAACCGATGGCCGAAGGATAAAGAAAAAAGGACGTGAGTAAAAAGTGGACAGAAAACAATCGAAAGGAGTCTACAGTGCTGTCGGACAGGTTTCAGCGAATATGTCGGCTGTGGGTTGGAAACTTTGGTAAAATTGTGATGTTATAAAGTATTACAGTACTTAAGAAGACGAAAAATGATGAAAACATAACGATAAAGGAGTCAGCGAGTGGTAAATCAACGAGAGAAGCGCCGATAACGAACGTGTAGCAAACAGTCAGAACGCGACTCACCCAAGCCAAGATGTGCACGCCCCGCAGTGTGACTGAGGCGTCTAAGAGGCTCTAGATGGCATTATCAATTGAGAGAAGCATCAAATAACCGGAAGCAAATATTTAGCATAAAGAGTGAGGAGATAGGGTCTATTCTGACAGATGTAAACAAGCTCCGTAAAAAACAGTGCGGGTTGGGTAAAACTCTGATGCTTGATCACACAAATACAATTGGTGATAAGGAGTAAAAAACACATGATCAGCTTGGAACAAAATGCGGTAAAAATAGAAGTCTTGGAAACGATGACGCGCTATAAGACTCCGTATAGACAAGTAGTAAAAGCATCCGTGAGTCGCATATACAGAAGTAACACTCAAAGATAATAAGTACGGATCGCAACGAAGTAGGACATTCACGTAGTCAAGTCAAGTTTGATACACCCATGTGAGATCATTTTCAGCGATAGTGTGAAAGTTTGAGGATCTGCTTAAGCTGGTGTACCTCAGAGAGCGGTAACACCAGACAGTCTCAGAGATATTCAAACGATGAGGATGGAAATGGGGATGGACCGATGGTCCTCGTTAAACTAATCCATAAGAGACAGCAGTCTGAGCTCAGTAGAGTAGCTCTAAGCCCGAATGACAATGAATGCATGTGAGGGTGATATAACATACCCGTATGCCATGGGTCTGGTAACTGCTGTCCTAGGCTAGATAGTTCCTGGCTAGCAAGTTGCAGACAAGCAAAAAACACACGCGGTCGGCTGTGAGGACAGATGAAGCCACGTTCCAAAAATCACGGAGTGTGAAAAAGATTTTCAGACCGCTAAGTTCAGACGGAACAATGTGGACGCACTTTCGAAGTAATGTGCTACCTTTTCGCCGGCAATAAAAGGCAGCTCTATAAACCAATTGTTTATTCGCACCTAGCTGATACAGCAAATAAAATGACGAAAACCTCGACGGATATCATATGTTACAGCGTTTATTACAGAGAAAACAGACTCTATTGCATGGTCAATACAATAACTTGGTGAATGTATTTTGCTTCCAGAAACTAGGAGTAGTCTAGGCGCATCTGTTGTCTAACTGCAGGCCAATTGACTTGAAGTTGGGTTAATGCGAGAATCTACGTAAAAACAGCGTTAAAAACAAGTTTCAACGGTTTTTGTATTCCGGATTCCTTAACACCATGTCCTCTCCAACATGGAGCATGTGTCTAACAAGCTAAATCCGTTAGTAAGAGTCCTCTAAGACGATTAATAATACCCCAACTCGCTCGAGAAATGAGTAGGAGAATAGGATTGGTATGAAAAGTAAGAACGCAGTACAGTAGTGGGCAGGTCTACTAAAAAACAGGGTGAAACACTTCCAAGAGCAATGGTGTCACCGTGACTTGATGGACCACCTGAAACGACTTCGAATAAATCGGATGTGAACTGGCGCCGATACAGAAGGATAAAGAACCGGACGCGGTAGCGACTCACTGACCACTAGTCTGACCGTTATGTCTGACACCACATGGTATACAAAGTAAATGTTTCTAAAGTAGCGGGTGTTGAACGGATACCACTCGCAAGGAACATGGGTGGCGGCTCACAAAGAACATGAAAGTCGAATGCGCAAAAAACAATGAGTCACGCATTGGTCGACTTGAAAGCCACATTTGCAGTGCAGTCAATTGTTGAAAAGTGTGTACTCTAATTTCGCTAAACCGCGACAACCGGGAGTCTTGTGGCTGGGTAGAAGAATTGAGATACCCGATTTCTCCATCGTACTGCAAATTTGTGGTCAAAATGAACGCGAGTAGTTTTATCCTAAGGAACACCTTATATGACGTTTGACCAAAAAATTCAAGTACACTGATAACCTAGCTCTCCTGAGGGTCACATGAGCACTCCACAAAGGTCTCGAAACAGACTGCTGCTATGCGCTGCATGCTCACCTTGTTATTGCTTTAGAAAATGTGTCCCCGAGAAAGACAATGGATAGATCGTCAAAACTAGATAAGCTTCACAAGCCTCACTGACCCATGGGATCGCGGGATCCGCCAACTCATTGGTCGACCGCTGCAGCGTGACCAATGGTATTCAATGGGGGCCGATAGTTATAGACTACTGTGATGTGTTCGTATGACACTGCCCATACCCGGAGGGAAATATGGAAGTTCGTTGAGTTGGGTTTGCCAACACACCCGGTGGTACAGCATATACTGGACAAGTAAAGTAATTTCTATGCCCGCCACGGTATGGGCGTAGTTGTGGGACATTGAATGTGGATGTGTGTGGCACCCTAAAAGGTTAGCCAATGCCATGACGATGAAGCATGATGAAATTAACCGAGTTATTGGGGCTGATACGTGCCGTCGTCTTACTGAGGACATCACGGTCATTCACCTCGATGGTAGCAGACACTCCTTCTTATCATCGTAGCTACGCTCAACAGAAGAGTCATTGCATATCCGAAATAGGATCAGGCGATCATATCGAATTTTCGGAACTCGTCACTGAGTCGAAACTGAAGCGTCGCAAATGCGAACTCCCAGCCAAACAGATGGGATAAGTTCAGAAAGGACTGAACAGTCATCAATTGCTTTTCTGGGTGTACAGCGACGGTTTAGCCGAGTATACATATAACGAACCTGCGAAATTTAATTCAAACCTCTTATTTTACTACCCCCAAAATTAGTAATCGTCCGAGTTATTTTGTAATGCTATCGCACGATGACGGTTCAGTAGGGGAAGCCGTGTGTAAGGAGGTCACCTTCGTTCTCCGAACGTTGGAAACACGCATAAATATGAAAGTGTATCGTGCTAGATCATAGATAGTTGATGAGCCATGGAGGTTGCTGCTTATCCCGCGTTACCCAGTGCTCAAATACTAATTCGAATGGTTGCGAGTTTTAGCCCACCACCGGTCAGGTGGAAAATGCACTACTGATGACTTCCGAAAAGACGAAACAGTCGTGTTTAGTGCGCTTCCCGATGTGACTCGGTGTACTTGTTATGAACCTCTTTCCAAATAAATCAAAATCGCATCATCCACCGAATTATTGACATAACATAAGCATGAAGATACTGGCACTCGGATAATTAAGAATCCCAAATTCCTTCGACCCAACATCACGGTCTTGCCATATTCTGGCTTAATTACTTTTCTTGTCCTGTTGTCGATCTCCTTTATATTTCTCATCGCGTCTGCGTATCATCATGACGATGAGAAGATAGGTACTCCAATGTCTGGAGCATGGCTGAGCGGAAGATTAGGAGTGCTCCAGAACCTGCGCCTACTTCCTTACGTAGAGCGTAGAACATATGTGAGAAAAATTAGCCAAAGGAAAGTTTCGATACAGTGAAGCACAGCGTTACGTAGATCACACAGCTGAGTTAGGGTAACATATAAGCAAACAGTAGTAGCTCAGGTTGTTCATTTGGTGGTCGAAGTGTTCGCTGAGCTCGGCAGTTTCGCCGTAAACGTTTCGTCATCGCTCGATGTGACATCACAAGTGCGCTACATACTAGTGCACAGTTGATGACACATTGAGTAGTAACGAAACGTTTGCAGCAAAACTGCCGAGCTCAGCGAATAATCCGACCATCAAATGAGTTAGGGTTTTTAAGCGTGGGTGGAAAGTGAGCTTCACAACGTCGCTTTAGTTTGAGATAAAACGACTGACTACGATGAAAACCGTGTATTGGTCGGAGATGTGAGTGGGAATCGGTAAACACAGAAAGACTCTGACGCATATGGAAGTGAAAATATGCGAGGCAAGGTTCACAGTGCGGATCGGTGTCGATAAAGATTCGTGAGGTGCAGTGTGAGTGTAAAGATGGCAAACCCCAAACTCTGTTTCTACGAATTGTTACAGTAAAGGTTCCAACACATCCGGTTTCCGACCAATCCGCCCTGGTGGCGCTGGAGAAAGAAAGGAACACCAACGGTGTGCCACACTGACGCTTCGATGCCAAGCGGTCACACATCAGCCGCATGCGGACTAGGGACACTGCGAGGCCTGTGCATTGTGAACTACACGTCAGAAGCACTCGGCCATCGGCTCACATTGCAAACGGAGACTAATTGTCGCAAACCGTACGCATATGTGAGCTGGGATGCAGTGATCGTGACTGCGGTGAGGAATGTGCAAAAGAAGGGGTCCAGGGCCCACGGTGGACCGCAGAGGGAACGACAGAAGGAAGTAATGGCGTGTGCTTGTGAGAGTGGTCAGAATACGGCAGCGTGAACGAATAAAAGTGTGGAGCAGATAGCAGAAAACATTGCACATGCCATTCCAATGAACAGCAAACTGTATCCGAAAGCAAGCCAAACACGTGTTCCACCAAAAGGAGTCCGGGGGTGCAAAAGTCACCAATATCGCTTGTATAGTGACAAGTTTTGTTTAGACAGCATTTGAAATACAGAGGACCTACCTCGGTACACTGTGAAATACGTAGGTGAAGTAACAGTATTTGTAAATCGATAGCACAACCACCCCAGGCAAATGATACCAGCAAGCAGGCAAAAAAGTCAAAGAAAGTTGAGATGACGGTCCACACTGGAGCGCACAAACAGTAACACCGGATAGATGGCAGAACAGTTGAAAGAGAATCGACCCAGTAGGTAAAAAGGAGCAGTTGACCCAGGAGTAGTGCGTGCAAGTCTACGGTGAAATCAGCGATGGTGTACTAATAAAGAATGATCTGTAGTATGTTAAGGACATCAGGATAATATAATATAACTCTTAAATCGATGATGGATACATTAGCGAACAAACCCTTGGGATTTGCACGTAGTCCGTTTCTAGGTTTACCGTCGGCGTATATGGTGAAATCAACAATGTAAGAGAAAAAAAACAGAAAAAGAAAGGTGCATTGACGAAGACAAGCCAGGAGTGCTCTTTATGCCCCCCATAAATATCCAGCGAACGAGTCACGTTCTCAGACGATACACCGTGGCAATCGGTTCATTGAGACTGTCAAGATATGGACACAAGTCAGGCAGTGTGACTACACCCTTGGAATGTGTGCAAAAGGAGTTGGTCAGAAGGTTGTTCCGCACATGAGCTCAAGCTCCTCATCCCTATGGGAAAGAATCAAAAAGGAAGCCACCATGTAAGGCGACAGAAATGTCATTTGGTACTGTATAACCATGGAAATAGTGGGTATTCGAATTCGGTCATGAGCTTCGCAGGACAATGTTGTAGCACGACGCCACAAGTATGGAATCCCGTTTCCTACAAGATGATGGAGTCAACGGATAAATTGGTAATAAGACTAGGGTGGAGTAGCACACAATACGAGTGCATCACGTTAAAGATGGCGGGGTTCCATACTGGACCGTCACTGGTTCTGGAATACCTGCATGGACTCTGATCATGTCATGGTACGCTGCCGTTTTTCTCTTAAATTTACCGAGGCGTACCAAGCGCCTCCGTCGATTGGCAACCGAGAAATTATCTCACTCCTCGGTGAGACAAGGCTATCAGGATAGTTTGCATACGGAACTAGCACTCTCTCGCCCAAGGACACCGAGGTTCAGTGGAATAGCACCTCGATGGCCATGCACAACGCGGTAGCACCGGTTTGGAGCACTACCAATCGTCACCGCACTAGTTCCTGAATATTCGAGAGGTCGGTGAACCAGTTGGAATACAGAAGTAGGATCCCAATTGGCTCTGAATCCAATGTGACCAGACGGAAGACTAGGAGCGAGCGAAAGCGGAGATGCGTGCCGACAAGGAGTAATAGTGGACCAGTCGGGTTCAAAGAAATCAAACATGCGAAAATAGTAGGCAGCTATCACAAAGCCTTCCAACTGGTTCGCACCGCTGGTCACAGAAAACCAAGCGTCAGTGAGACAATCAGAAACAGCGCGGATGACCTGGATCACAATAATGAGCGCCGATTAGGTTTGTGGGAGGAGTACTTCAAGAGCGGTTCAGTTGACACCTCGTTCCTTGGTCTTTTTCTACTAGGGTGGTTCAGGTTGAGTCATGGCTGGTTAGTTTAGGAGATCCATCGGAGGCTGAGTTCCGAAACGCAATCGCACCTCTTACTCGTTTTCGAGCTGCTGGCCCGGATTCGCTTGAACTCGCGATAGTTAGGGATGGTGGTGAGGTCTTCCGCAAAGCACTGACCCACTTGTTCGAACATGTATGGAAGGAAGAGACCACTCCGGCTAATTGGAGTGGCAATATACAAGGAGGGCAGTCACACCAACTGCACTAACGACAGGATTATTAAACTAATACTGGTGGTAACAAAAGTACTGACTTCCATTCTCGTTCATCGTCTCAATGTGGAACAGAAATCCGGGATTGGGGAAGCGCAAGCAGGTTTCTGCACAGGACGGGGCTGTATAGATCACACATTCGCTCCACGGCAAGTGCAATGCCACACGTCCCGCAGGTCGACAACAGCTGTGTCCATCGACTTGAGGAGTGCACCCGACTCAGAAGATTGACCGATTCTGTTCAAAATACTTGCGCGGTATGGTGTTCCATTAAAATTTGTGAACATTTTATTGCACCGTACTGGAAAACCCCAAGCCGTGTTACGAAAGGCAAAAGAATGGCAAATCTAAGCCCTGAGATAGATCACTCCTTCGCCTCAAGTGGGTCAAGAAGTTGGTGGCACATGCGTAACAGCCGGTTTTAAATTAAACATGTAGAAAGGAATAAGAATGCGCCGCGGATGTGTGCAGTGAGGGACCCTACAGACTTTCAGGTTGTTAATCAATGGGAACAGGTAGTGGGTTCAAGAAAGTCGGCGCATCTATTGATTGCTATGTCACAAGCGTGAACAAACACGATAGTTTTGGTGGAAAGGAAGCAAGTTGCGTAAAGAATAAGTCGTAGGGGGCATCGGGTTAGCACATGAGGAGAAAGCTAGGCTGAAAAGAGTGCAATGGCTAGTTGTGTATCTTGTGCAGAGTGGTAAGACAGTGAGGTGATAAAGAGCAGCGCAAGATCGTTCCAGACAGCTTTGCGAACAACCGTTTAGGGCAATTGTTAGGTAACGTTTCGCTTTTGACACAAAGCTTTCACAAGCGAAGGGAAAAAATGGCTTCCCGAGCGGTGCAAGTTGATTCGTAGCCACGGATTCTGTAAGGATAACTTCTTGTCGAAAAGAGTTATGTCGATGCAGAAATGAGGTTGAGCATATTCCAATGATAACTCCATGGGACTGATTGCATTATAGCGGTGAGCTAATCAGAGGATGAGGTAGTCGAACTAGTAGCTAAAGTAAATGAACTATAGACGACAAGGATAATGAAACACGCAAACTCTAAGTTCCAGTGAAATGAGTCAATGACGTGCGTGTGGTACAAACAAAAAAAACGGCAAGATAAAAAACGCATAAAAACGATAAGATACACAACATGAAGAAAAGGCAGTGAGTTTCGCTTACTTGGCAAGCTGCTTGCAGTCAAATGGGATTGAGTCGTTTGGCCACCGGAGGACGAGATTGGCAGGATAGAGGCTAAATCACGAGGAGACTGAGGTGCACTGTGATCGAGGAAACGGAGGGAAAGAGCAAACATATGGAGCATATGCCAGACTTGGACGGGGCATGATTTATGTATGGTGTTTTGCAATGAAAAATTACAAGAAACAAACGACGAATGTAGTCAATTCATCACATGAGATTACAAGCCAGTTAGACAAACAACCAATCCAGTAAAGCACCAGACGGCCGTCTCGTCCTCTTGTGAGTCGTCAGTAATGCGTATTCTCCGTTAGAACGCAATCCATGATTGTCAGCCACCGTCCCCATGGTTCAGTGGCATAAGCTGCCGGCTGGTGTTGCAAGCTGCTAGGGATCGTGGATTCAATCCCCTAGAGGGGACTGAAGGAACGCACACACTCGATGAGTCCCGAGAGAAGGAAACGGCGGTCTAGTGTTTCTCCGGATTGGTAGTTGCCCTAAATGGCTTATAATGCAATCGCAATGAACTAGATAAACCTCACCAAAGCGCTCTACTCACGAGTGAATAATCAACAAATGCCATCAGAAAATCGAAAACCTTGGCTATCAAGTGTGTAGACCGTCTGTGAAAAAGGAAAACAAATGTGCAAAAAATATAGATTGGAGTACACCTTCCCATATATACGTGGCGATTTGTAATTAACCCTGAATGGAATAATGGATACATTCTACTCAGCACCTAACGATCCCACAAGTTGGAAGAGCACACGTTCTACTTTACACCGAAGTGCACATAGTTGATCAGTTCACTAAAGTGAGACAAACCGGCACAGCCTATAGATTGAAGTAGCACCCAGAGTGTGGTGTGTCAGCCAGTAACAAAAGCTGTGGGATCACAGGGCAAACGGACGAGCTGAATGTGAGAACAGGCGCCATCAATAGTACTTAAAAAAGAATATAAACGAAGTGAAACGAACGATGCGTAGCAAGAAAATATTGGAGGTTAAGTAAACGCTCTAACTGCTTAAATTTAATTAGTGGTGTCATCAAGACGATGGATAAATGGGTCAATTCTTAAAAGCGGTGAAAAATGTGCGGCACCAATTGAACAGGGAAAATGCGATGTACCAGCGCTCCGGAAGGAAACCAAGCCAACCGAAGATATTTATCCGATAACACCAAATACAGAAAGACCCGACTAAAAGACAAAGAGACCTACATTTTGAAATATGGCTTTCTCTTTTAGATAATGCAAACAAAAAACTCGTTTTGCAATGACTGTGCGTATGCTGGGATAATATCAGCGCGCGCAATGATAGAAAGGAGAACGAGTTGGGTTTTTCACTAAAGTCTGGCTACAAAGCCTGAGTGCAAGGCAGCGGGGAGATGGCAACAACATACACTTCAACAGAAGCATACGGAAATTCGGACAAATCTACGCTAAATGAGCATACGTAATAAATCGGTTAAAAACAAATACGCGAGAAGTGCCAGATATCAGAAAATAAACTTAAAATGCCCCAAACGCGAACATGTTAGCGAACTTAACCACAAATAGAATAAGCGACGTGCACAAGTTAAGAGATTATTCAGATAAACGTAGAAATAAAAAATGTACTGAGACAGGACAGCAAACCTATCACCTGAAATAAAGAAACTCAGCACGCAAGCACGCTGCAAGTAAATCGAATGCGCTGCGCCGGTTCTGCTTACCATCTCAGCAGAACCCATCGTCTTTTTGAGGCCGGTCTCGAATAGCCTCGCCCGTGGTTCATTAGGCCTGACTGACTCAGGCATTCGCGACCGCATATGCTACAGCATCACGCGCTCGATGTCGATGGAGTACAATCCATCGGCGCCCACCGCTTCCGAAATTGCCGCTTCTTTACATTCACGAGGGATTTCTCTTGCACTTCGTCATCAACCTGCGTGATCAGATCGCGCCATACACGCCGATCAACCGCTTTCGATTCCCATGACCTGCAATCAAGATTAGAAGGTGAGAAGCTCACTTTGATCATCTCCTGGTAACGAAACTTCGGTTTCCCCACATGCAGCTTCCCAACACTCAGCTGACCATATAATAGCTGCTTCGGTATCCGCATCGAATCCACACGCCACACATGACCGAGCCACGTCAGGTGTCTCAGCAAAAGTATGCAGTCCACTGCATACATTGCACTTCGACGCAACACTTCCGTGTCCGCAACTCTATCGCACCAAGCAATGCGCAAAATCCGTCACAAACACTGTTGATGAAACCGCTCGACATATCTCACATCTCGCCGGTACATCGTCGACGTTTCTCTGCCTTATAGAAGAACGGATAGCACAACGGATTTGTACACCATCAGCTTCGTGCCAACGGTAATCTGGTGGTTGTTCCAATCTCGGTATTGAAGTTTCCAGAACGCCGCCGTTTCCTTCGAGAGCCGGATACGCAGCTCACTGTGTAGCTGCTGATCAGCAGACACCACGCTCCCAAGACAGCAGAAGCAGGAGGTGGTTTTTAGTACGTCATCATTAATGATGAATTGATGCACCATTGTAGACTGCATCTCTGGTGAAGGCTGAGAAGGACAGACAGTTTTGCTTGCGTTGATGGTGAGCCCGAATTTGGCCGCTGTCGAAGCCAGAGCACTAGTCACGTGCTGCAACTCATCTGCGGTGTGTGCAAACAACACAGTCGTCAGCGAACAGCAATATACGGATAGTTGTCTCACAGACTAGGGTTATCGCACCAAAATGACGGATGTTCAGCAACCCACCATAACATACGGTACACCACACGAACACCGTAAGCACAAGCCCCATCAAGAGCACAAGACATGAAGATAAATATTAGACAGGGCAGCAGCTAAGACACGGCCATGCTTCACACCAGAGACAACGGCAAAGTCATCTGAGGTCTGTCCACTCAGCTGCACTGTTGGCCGCATACCACTGCGCAGACACTCAACTAAACTTACAAACTTACTCGGACAACCAAACTTACCCAACACCAGCCACAATGCCTCGCGGTTCACCGTATCAAATGCTTTGGTGAAGTTACCAAAAAGCGAGAACAACGGTTAGTGTCGTTCTCTACACTTCTCCTACAACTGACGAGTCGCAAATACGACATCGATGGTGCTGCGACTCGAATGGAATCCACACTGCTCTTCCGCCACGTTCGGTTCCACAAAATGACTGACGAGGCGGTTGAGCAGGATTCGGCAATCATCTTGCTCAAACAACTCAATAAGTTGATACCACGATAATTCGTAGTACATTGTTTGCTTCCTAAGCCCTTGTACAGTGGTTGTACAAGGGCATCCTTTAGCTCAGGAGCCATTTTCTTCACAATTCAGATGCGTTGCACCAACTGGTGCAGCGCATTCACCAACGCGGGTCCACCGATTTTCAATATTCCAGGCTGTATCCCGTCGGCACCGGCACACTTGCCGTTTCGCAGCTGAGCAAGTGCTCTTTTATATCTTCTTTGTCGTCACAAACGACGCACTTCTCGAAACTGATGGAAGTAATAGCCGAACTCCCGGTTTTCATCTTCCTGTGATCGCAACCGTGAGAATCCATTGAAACCCCAGCACTTCTTCGACCTGGTTCGCCATTCATCTTCGTAGCGTTTAATATTCGAACTTTGATGCAGATCGGATGACAAGCACATCTGGCCCGTACTCTTGAAGCACTCTTGGAAGACATATGTTGCCTTTCAGAGACCAGATTACAAGACTCTAGTGCCGTCATCAGAATGGCCTCTCCGATAAACCCTGACGCCAAATACCACTTGTGGCTTTCCGGATACCTAGAAGCTGTCGTCACTGGCCAAGCTGGTGTTGTGGTTGCACTGAGTGTCAGGGCTGAATCAACTCTGCTTGACTGGATCCCAGTCAACAGTCGGCTATGTGCAGTCTGATTAAGAGGTTCATGTAAGCAGACATCAAGCGTGCATTGTTTGTCGTCTTCGCCTACACCCTTACAGACAGTAGCCCGGATAAAGTCAAGGATAGCTTTTAGCAGCAGCTACATGAACTTCTGCGTTCCTCCAAAAGGACTGATATAGTCCTTCTTGCCGGAGAACTTAACGCACGGGTGGTCCGCCTTCCCCCAAGCGAGCACCACCTTGGGGGTACTCTTTGGTCCCGGTGGCAGTCGATCAGACAATGGAGACAGAATGTTTGCTCTTTGCTTTGAGCATCGGTTGTATCTTTCGAGCACTAGTTTTCGGCACTCGAGGAGACACACTGCTACCTGGCGAGCGGATGAGTTGCTACACATGACTTCGGCTCTCGCTTCGACAGGAGCCAAATTCGGACTCACCATCAACAGTAGTAAGACTGTCTTGTTCTGACCACCAGAAATGGGATCCGTATGTTTAACACGAATCTACATCTACGTTGGCATGGAACCACAACGAGATTTCGCTACCTGGGTATTGTACTTTCGACCGATCTGCAGATGATGAGCGAGTTACGTGTCCGCGTATGGAAAGCGGCTGCTGCGTTTGAAAAGCAGGAAAACCATGTGTGGAACAATCACAAGCTTGCCGTTGGAACGAAGCTGATGGTATACAAGCCTATGGTGCTGTCCGTTCCTCTATATGGCAGCGAAACCTGGACAAAGTACCGGAAGTAAGTCAGCTATCAGGAGCGATTTCATCAACAGTGTCTGCGATGGAATCTGTGCATCGGGTGGTGCGACAGTGTTACAGGCAGGGAAGTGCTACATCGCAGTGGCATGTCTGCAGTGGACTGCATACTGCTGTTGTGGCACATGAAGTGGCTGGGGGTATATCAGCCGAAAGAATTTTACGCGAATATCCAAACAGCTTTTGTACGGCCAACTTAGTGCAGGGAAGTGGCATGTGGGAAAAAGGAAATTACCTTACCAGGACATGATCAAGGTGAGTTTATCATGAACTAACGTTGAGTTCAGGAGTTGGGAATCAAAGGCAGTTGATCGTCGCGAATGACGTGAGCTAATCAAGATGGAGGTTGCCCAGGTGCAACAGAAAGCAGTGTTACATGCAGAGTAGAAACGCCGGGTGCGGTAGCGACAGGCGCCGATGGAGTATCACCTTTAACGTCGAGTAGATGGGGTTGTAGCACATGCGATCGCGAATGCCTGAGCCAAGCGGGCCTGATAAGCCACCAGCATGGCCACGCGGGGCCATCATCCAAAAGACGACGAGTCAACCAACTACTTAAGTATAATCGGCGCAGCAATCAGAAGGTGCGGTGTGTCCGCATCCGATCGGTGCACTAACCCAGACCAATAAGACTTGCTGGGTACGTGTGGTGCATCATCGTTGCAGTTTCTTTGTATGTCTGCGTGTTGAGTCACTTGCATTTCGAGGGTTAGTTGTTGATTCATATACCGGGTGTGGCTGCGTCTGATGTGAATATTGACAAGGTGCCTACTTGTCTAAAACCTTCCACCTCGAGTATACTGGCTCAAGTAGAGAGTTGGTAGTTGCCGGAGCGGACGGGAAGCGCAGTCCTCGTGGCGGTGCTAGGCTCAAAGAGTTCCATGCATCCAGTGTGGAATGGACTACGGCCTACTAATATCCCTGTGTATGTCTGGTACGGGTGATTCCCCGTATAGACAGGAAAGCTGTGGCTGTGCGTGTTGAAGCAGTGTGGGCCGTCTCCGTTGGTGTAACGTGGTTCCTATACACATACCTTCCCATCTTATTCCTTCGGGTTTACACTGGATATGAGGTAGGTGGAAGGAGTTGTGGGTATTGCAACGCAACCTACCCATAGTCCCTCTGTAGCTGTCGGCGTCCTGTGGCTGTTCAATGGAGGCCGCAGTGACAGGCAAATCCGAATCGGATGCCTAGCTACTACCAGGTTCGTAGATGGTACGTGCAGCACTTAACCTATAGCAGGTCACAGCCGTCTATATGACACCAGCGCAAAGATCTTTATGCACCTCGGCAATGTCTTGGTTTCAGCTTCTGTCCGGTAGCTCATTGAATGACTGGCGGTGAAGATGGGTTCCACAACAGCGTTGCTTGATGTGCCTGCCGTACAGTATATTGGCCGCAGTTTCGGTCTTTCAATATAGCAGATGTGTCGGGTAGGGAAACTCATAAATAGACCTGCTAAGTAGTGCTGCATACGTTGCTCTGGTGGAAAGACGCAAACTTACTCGAACGACTGCTGTTATCAGGCTAGACGAGGTCTATTGAATCAACGGTCCTACGAGCACTGCTCATGATGTTAGGCGGAAGCCGAGATCATATGCGTTGTTTAGTGATAGGGGTGTTACCGCACAAAGACGCCGAACCGTTTCAAGGATTGTTTATAGTAGCGGACTGAATGAACGATCAACCCAGCGGACTGAGTGAGGAATTTGGCAGAGAAGCAAGTTAGAAAAGTGAGTAGCGTGTCTGTAGCATGAATTCAGGTGCATGTGTCCCAAAGTAGATGAAAAGAGCAGTGTTCATGTTATGGGAGTAAGTGATTTTTCAGCAGGGTAAGTGTGACAACCCAGTGCGAACATTGGCACAGGCAGCTAGGAAGGTTTATGTAACAGAAGTTGTCCGCCACAATACGCGGCCCCGGATCACAATGAACCACTTCGGTTACCAATAGCACTACCACTAGCACGACGAGAACAACAACAACAACAACAATAATAATAATAACAATAAAAATACAACCAGTACAACTACCACTGCAGTGCACTACTAACGGGAAGTATGGGAGAACAGAAATACTTGATGGAATGGGAGAACTCATGGATCAGTACGGATGCGTGGCGCAGAACGTGCACCCAGCTAACACAGACACGCGGTGTGAAGATGCGAAGCAGAATAGAAAGGTAGAACAGCACCACGTAAGAGGCATGCAAAATGCACACGGCTGTGATTTATTCGATCGCCTGTTTCATCAAGACACGATCTATCGCAGTAAACAACCCGTCCGCCGCTCTGGGTACTGGACTACTATTACTGTTATCGCTATTACTAATACGATTACAGTTGGTCCAACGCAACAAGAGGTATAGGATGTAAGGTAGATACACTTTCTGTAGGAGATCAGATTTTGAGCTCGGGGTACGTCACCAGAAACAGACAGTGCGTTCTAGCGCTGAAGGCGAAGGACGTAATTTTGACGCAAAGCAGGGAAAAAATCGTGTGTCACTTATTATTCCGGAACTCAACCCAAGTATGAATGACACAATGGTCTGGATATCGACCAGAAGGCGGTTGATGCAAACTGTTTCAGCTGTGAAAAAATCGGTATTGCCTTGACTACGACACACGCACACGGAAAATGACGAGATACTTAATGCATGCAGAAGGCATATGTGAACAAAACTACACTCGAGGAAGACGGTAAGCAATAAAGTTCGGCTCGCGCTCTAGGAAGTCATTAGCACGAGTATATGGAGCGCTGTGGTAGTGGTGTTGGTGAACCGCTGGGATTGCAGAGTGGGTATATGGAAAATGCAGTTAGAGGAAAGAAAGTGTCAAATACAACCTGAAAAAGTACAACAAATTCCAACTTACCCGAATCGGTGCAATGCGGAACACTTGAGGAATGGCTCATGGAAGTAGTGTACTTGAAGAATGATAATGACAAGGAAGATGACGGGAGTGGACAGACGCTCGAACAGTGCAGCGCTGGCGAATGTTTCCAGGCCGATATCCTTCAAGCTGGAAATAGACCAGTGAAGGGGAAATGGTCAAAGTGGTAGGTTAATTCTCCCATAACACGCAAGTAACGCGTCCAACTGATCAACCATGGTGATGCAAGCGCAGTGGCACAGGAAACCATGGTGCGAGGGAAATAAAAGAGGAAACCTTGGGAACGAAAGCCCAATGATGAAGAAGTTAGAGGGTGAATTACCGGTTGACTCTGACCCAAAATGAAGCCACAACGTCCATGTAGTCCGGATTTGTCTGCCGTTAACTTGGTTGATGCATTCATAGTGCAGTAGCAGCTCAAGCAAAGGGGAATTCACCCGGTGGGTCATTGTGGGGTCAACTCCAAAAAACCGTATAAACAGAATGTACACCTAGAGGCTGCCAGTCACTAACGCCGCAAAAGGTAATGAAGAAATCCATCAAAAGCTGAGTCGCGTTAACTCGTATATCCTCCCTGTATAGGACTCTCTGGACTGACCACGTCAGCGGTTGTACAACACCCTATCCGATATGTCGTAGCCATGAATCGAGTGGCACTCACACATTGACTCAATAATTTCTGACCCATAATTGCTTCGTCTAATAATACCGTTCATTGCCCATTCACCTTGAATCATACTTAACAGTTTACCAATTTGTCCTGGCAGCTCATAAGCCAGATGGTCTAACCACCATTCCGTAAAAGTACCAGACGGCCGTTTCACCCTACTAGGGGTTGTCAGGGAAGTGAATTCATGATCGCTAGCAGGTTGCGTAAACTAGCCGGTACCTTATGCTGCTGAGCTATGGGAACGGTGACAGGCTGTCATCAGAAATCCTCTTAATCATTCGTAATAATTAAGTCATAATTATAAGACGGTGGATACACAGTGCTCGGAAACACATAGAGCGTAGTTGGTACAATGAACAGTGGCTGCAGATAAGTGAAGTTCAAACTGGGTGCGGGTTATGTTGAAGCACATGGTGTATGCATAGATGGCGACAAGCAAGTCTAATCGAGAAGGGGATTCCCTTTGAAGTCACTGTGACCCCAGCTGAAGCAAATGAATGTCGAGTGCTATCTGCCCGCAACACTGCATTCCATAACGAGTTTCGAATTCGTTTGCACTCATCAGGCAGGCATGACTGCGGCGTGAACCCGAATTTTCAGTATGTCGACAATCGAAGCATCCGTACCTAAGCCACCGAGTCCCGTGGGGCAATGCATGCCACATCATGTATTGACTAAGTGGGGGTCAACGTTAAGCACTCGTTATGTGAATAAGTTGCCAAATAGGAAGAGGATATACGCAAATGCATGAACAGATGAGGGTTAGTGGAAACGAAACTGTTAGCCGTGACCCGCTCGCATGCCAAATGGACAGGACAAGCAAATGACTCATCATCCATATGCCTCTTCATTACTAGCCTAGTGACCAGTAAAAAAGGATGACAGAATGGGGGGCTGCCTGTTTTCCTTCACACGTGGGAATTGGAGCCAGATGATAGGCTAAACGGTCAAATGCACAAATGATGGGTACAGTCGTGTAGGAACCGTCAAGTAACAACTTGGAGTTCGGTCAGGAATCGGAATGATCCGTTAGGCTAGGAGCTGTCACCGGGACAGGGGGCATAAAATTTTGACGGTGGGATAACAGGCTAACATGAGAAGTATTAGATGAGTTAGAGAAAATGTTTCACTTCGATTAAACTCTCCTCGTAGAAATTTCGGCATGCCCTAAAGACAAACAAGCAGAAATGGGCAAGTGATACCGAAGAAAACTCGTTTCCATATATTAATATTAATAATATTAAGTATGATAATAGGTATATTGTGCATCCAATGAGAAGCTGGGTACAGTGCAGCAACCAAGATCTATGCGCCGAAGCGCGGTGGACTCAGTTACCCAGACCGACACCGCTAAATGAATAACAAGTGTACTAATGATAGCTATAGTACAAAATAGATACTATACATTGCCCTCTCGCAAGTCGGCCGGAAAGGAGTACGCGCTTGCCTTGTGCTCCCCAAGGTAGCAATTCGATTCCGCGTAGGTGCGAGCGACTTCGCCCAAGCGACCAAGTCCAAACACGACACAACGGAAACAAGGTACGCTGTGCCGGGATATTGTCGATGCCCGTTTTGCTTCTCCCATAATACCTTCACGCGATCGGCTTCGTGTCTATTACCGCTCTTCAGGTAGATAAATAGAGGGATTGTGACTCGAATCTACAATACGATATGGTCAACAAACAACACATCTGTTCCTACGCCACCGAGCCGCAGACAATGCGCAGCACAACGGTTAATGATTAATTGGAGACTCGTTTGACACACCCGATGCGCGAATAGATTACGAAAAGAAATTCTGATGTAGATCAAAATTCGTATTAAAGTGAAGCATGATAGATTCGATCACTGGGACAGTAACTGATGTAGCAGGTGAATACTGGGTGTTGCAAGCCAAGAAACACTGCACCTCACGACTAGTTTGAAATTTTATGCGATTTCCACAGGTAAAGACAGAACGCAGTCGAACCCGTGCTGTTTAGTATGTTATCCGAATCCGCATAGGTCTTCGCCGTAAACTCAGCCCGCGCGACTGGTGGTGGTCGCGGTGCAACGAAGCGCCGTTACGAAGTATAGCTGACACCAAATTTTTGATCCGAAACATCTAACGCTAAGCCACCGAGTCACGATGTGCAAAGCTTATCACAATGGGTACGGACCTAGTGCTGACTCGTTTGAATCACTCGATGCGCGGATGGACTGTGATATGCAATCTCAATGAGGACTAAGATTCGTAATGAAGCGTAGCACAGCCAATCACTGGGTCCTTACTGATTTAAAGCATAAATAATAGGTTTCGCTCCCCTGTTACATACATTCAAAGAGGCGCTTTGTTCGAGGGGAGTCCCCTACAAATCAATAGTATGGACTGTAAGGTGGTGTGGAACATGGAGGTTCGCTTGAGGGACTCCACTCGAAGCCTTTGATACAATAGCGTGACCCACAAGGCAGGTTGGAGCAATTCTGGCTCGGGGTGACTATAGAGTCCCATTGGGAGCTGCATGAGGCCTATCATCGGCGGCTTTTGAGAATTAAGACAGTTCACATGCATTTTTTGACCACGGCCAAGCCCATAGGTGAGTTAGCGGGTTTGCGCAGAAATGAGAAGGGATTGCTTGTTAGGAGGCGGGGAGCAGCAAACAAATGAGTACGGGTGCTTCTCTCTCACCTCTAGAGACAACGCGTGGCATTGCCTCTCTACGCCAAGAGAACTGAGCATGTAACCCGTTTTTGAAAAGAGAGAACCATGCACCTCTCTGCAATCCCCAAAAAAGGGAAGTTGAGATTGAGCTGGTATGGTTTGATCCCTTTCTGGTGTGAGGGGCACTAAAGGTACTTTAAAAGTGCTATGCTGTGTAGATAAATGGATCGCAGACGTATGCAAACCACTGTATTACATTAAGGTTCAACCTTCCTGGTCACCAAACAACACGGCCAATTTGTACCTAACATTTTGCTCATGAAGCAAAGGCCTAGGGTGAGGGGGTAGAACAATAAGTATACAAACTGCGATCTGTTCAAAATAGTTGACTGGAAGAATAAAAGCAATGTTCCATCGACAGTCGGAATACATACGTACCTTCAGCCAATCGCTTCCAATACGCTGCCTGGTTATCACATAATGAACACTCGGAAGCCTTAGAAACCAAGTGTTGAGTAAGCAAAGATGGCCATGGGCCTTTAGGATGAAAACCGTGGATTAATTTGCGTGTAGGAGTGTTGATGTAATGCATTAAGGATTCATCGCAGCAGCTCAAGTAAGACACTTCCGGAAAAGCACTTGAAAGTCAGTTCATATGAACGGGACTGTTTCTCCTACTCCCATCCCGATCCCCACTACTAACATTCCTTCGATAATTCCCAGCTTAATTGACAGCAACCGAAGTGCCACTGGAGTAGAACCATCTGCAGCCACCATCCCACAGCACCTATCGGACGGCTATCGGCAAAGGTCCTTTATAAGGCCACGCTATCCCGTTTCCATGGCGACATTCAACGTTCGCACTCTAAGACAAACAGGTCAACAGGCTGCACTCGCGTGCACCTTGGACACACTGTGTATTGATGTGTGTTGTGTGTCTGAAAATAGGATCAATGACCCTAACGGGGTTATTGACTTATCTGCACCCGGCTTATCCTCTCATTATTTGTTGCACCCATCCGGAGACGCCGATGCAGCACACACAGGTCAAGCTGGTGTAGGTATCATCCTAAGCTCCAAGGCTGAGTCATCGTTGGTTGATTGGATTCCAGTGAATAGCCGTTTATGTGCAGCCCGTTTGACGACATCAGCTAAGGTTGATTCACGAAGTAATACAAAACGCTGTTTGTTTGTGATTTCCGTTAATGCTCCTATCGACTGCAGTTCTAATACTGTCAAGGACACATTCTATCACGAACTAAACGCGTTACTACGCAGTGCTACTAGTTCAGATATTATAGTACTTGCGGAGGATATGAACGCACAAGTAGGGCGTCTGAGCTCTTCAGAAGCTCAACTGGGTGGCAATTGTGGGCTTAACTCCGAACGGACTGACAATGGTGAGCGTCGGCTGTAACAGTGTGCGGAGCACCAGTTGTTTCTTAGTGGCACTGCTTTTAGACACAGTGGGCGCCGAAGTGCTACTTGGCGTCCACCGGTAGTTGGCCAGCGATGGACCCAAATCGACCACATAGCCATAAGTTACAGGTGGCGTGGTTCCATCCTGGATTGCCACTCGTACTGGAGTACCTGTGTCGACTCTGATCATGCCTTGGTACGCTGTCGTTTCTCCATGAACTTTACCGGGAGGCGCACCAAGCGTCCCCTACGATTGGCAACTGAGAAATTGTCTCATCCGTCGGTCAGACAATCCTATCAAGACGCACTGCATACCGAACCTTCGCTGTCTTGCCCTAATGACACTGAACGTCAGTGGAATAAGATCTCGGCCGACATGCACGACGCAGAAGCATCTGCTTGTGGCATAATCCATCGTCACCGAACCAGTCACTGGATACCCGAGAGGTCGGTGAACCTGTTGGAATCTAGAAGACACCTCCCGGCTGGCTCTGAACACAATGTGACCAGACGGGCTATTAGGCGTAAACTAAAGCAGAGCCTACGTGCTGACAAGAAAGCCTGGTTGACCAGTTGGGCCCAAGAAATGGAGGAGGCAGGAGCAATAGGCAATTACCACAAGCTCTTCCAGCTAATCCGCACCACTGGTCCCAGGAAACCAGACATCTGTGAGACAATCAGAGACAGCGCGGGTGCGCTGATACACAATAAGGAGTGCAGTATGGCTCTTTGGGCGGAACACTTTCAAGATCATTTCAGCTGGCCCCCTGCTCCCGGACCTCTTCCTACTTAGGTGATGCAGGACGAGCCATGGACAGTTAGTTTAGAGCCTCCGTCGGAGGTCGAGGTTCAAAACGCGATCACAGCCCTCAATCGTTTTCGTGCTCCTGACCCGGATTCCCTCCCATTTGCACTACTTAAGGATGGAGGTGAGGTCCACTGCAAAGCACTGACCTCCCTATTCAATTGTATCTGGAAGGAAGAGCGTCCCGGCTAATTGGAGCGAATCGATTATAGTGGCAATATACAAGAAGAGCAGTTGCACAGACTGTCCTAACCACATGGGTATTAGCCTAACGCCAGTTGCGACAAAATTATTGGCCTCGATTATCGCTCGTTGCCTCACTGCGGGACGGGAATTTCGGATTAAAGAAGAGCAGGCCGGTTTCCGCCCAGAACGTTGCTGTATAGACCATATATTCACTTTGCGGCAGGTGCTAGAGCAGCGACACGCATACCATAGACCGACAACAGCTGTGTTCCTCGATTTCAAGAGTGCGTTCGATTCAGTCAATCGATCGATTCTGTTCGAAATACTTGCATGGAAAGGTGTTCCCACGAAATATGTGAACATCCTTCGTGCGCTATACTCGAACACTACAGGCCGCGTCAGGGACTATGGTGTCCTATCGGATAGCTTTCCGAACACAAGTGGCGTTCGTCAGGGTTGTCCGATTTCCCCATTTTTGTTCAATTTCGTCGTGGATTGTATCATGCAGTGTTCCCTTGCGGAATCTCACGACGTAGGTGTCGAAGTGCTGCCTGGAGAAACATCAGCTGTCCTAGATTATGCGGACGATATCGTCTTGCTTTTTGACGATGTTGCGACGGCACAATCAACCCTGAATAGCCTGTTCAGTGTGGTCCCATTATTTGGTATGCACTTCGCACCTTCAAAGTGCAAAGTGTTGCTGCAGGACCACCAGCCACTTGATGACTCCTTGACGCTTGCTAACGAGGAACTCGAGGTGGTTGATCAATTCGCTTATCTTGGCAGCTGCATCAGTAACGATGGGCGCATAGAAACTGACGTCAGCTTACGCATTGCAAAGGCCAAAACTGCCTTCTTGAACCTTCGGCATATTTGGCGACAGAAGGAGGTTTCCCTCCGTCTGAAAGACCGTGTATACAAGGCCACAGTAAGGGCCGTTCTGCTCCATAGTAGTGAGACTTGGCCCCTTCGGTCTGAAGATCTGAGGCATCTTAAAGTCATTGATCATCGTTGTCTGCGAGGCATTATCGGTGTAGGATGGCACCAGCGTGTCCGCAACGATGATGTGCGTAGGCGAGTACTAGGTGGTGATAATCATGCTAGCTCCCTAGAACAACAGATAGCACTGAATAAGTTACGTTGGCTCGGGCACGTGCTACGTATGCCTGGTCACCGCTTACCTAGGAGGGCCTTGTTCAGTTTACCAGGTGTAGGGTGGCGCAAGGCTCGAGGTGGACAGAAGTTGACTTGGCAGCGGGAAATGAAGTCACTGACGACCAAACTGTGTACCGTTGGTCCGTCTCACCTTCCAGGCTGGAGTCCACGTGACTCACCTTGTAACTGGCTCGAAACTTTACAGGACATGGCTCGCAACCGACACCAGTGGCGCGTCTGCTGCGGTCTCCTAATCGGATTGCCAGTTTAAAGTGTGTTTGATGCTGAGTTATCTGAGGGGTAATGGCTGATTAGGACGCGTGGCAGTGAAAGCCGCAAGGAAGCTATCTTGCCGATGCCGCCTTATCTTTGCACGATAGCCAGCTGTTTGTGATGGTATGTTTTTAACACAAGGTGTAGGCCGCCTTGACCCTGAGTGTTTGCTTAATGCATTAAGGTTTTCAGGTAAGTCCCCCTTCTCTCCCTCATTATTATTATTATTATCATTATTATTATTATTATTTCATAGATCATCATAGTTGTATGGCAGAGAAGCATCAGTTCAAATGGATGATGTACTGCTGTTGATGATGATGATGATGAGTAGCATGGAGGCCCAGTCTTTACCCGGGAATGAGGCCTTAATTGCTATGGGTATCAAGGCCGCGCCGCGTCGCTCTGATTGTTCGAAAACCTTTTCGCTCCGAATGGCTGACCAAGGAAGCAAAGTTGCATGCACCAGTTTAAGGACCAACAGACAGGAGACAGTTACATTGCAAAGATTACCGATATGTATGAGTTCCCTGTGACCGGCTTGAATGTTCCATACTTTATTCTATTCTTCACTTACAAATAATGGCATCAGGTTGTAGGAAAACACTCGTTTGATTAAACAATTCGATTATTCTACTTGATTTATGGGCGTGTAGAGGTGCTTCTCCTAACAATAACCCTCGCTACGCCAGCCACCCATGTCACTAGGTGACAAACCTACAAGCTGAACGCAGTACAGTGCTATGCAAAGCGCTTTGGCAGCAGATGTGGTTGGTCCTTAAAGCCACGGCTTCCCGTATAACGGATATGTAGGACGGAACATTTAGTGGTAATAGAGGCGAATATTTTTATTTGCCTATGAGTGGGTGTTTTCTTATGAAATGTATTGTGGGTTTGTCTCCATGTCCAACTAGTTGGTTTCAAGTTGTGGAAAAGTGAAACTGTGAGTAGAGTCTACTGGAATGGTCAATGATCAACAACAATGAGGAGTGACGTGAGTAGTTGTGCATCATGGCTATTAACTGAGCCAGGACACCATGCAGCAATAAATGACAGCACGATGGCGGGAAGCATGTTAAATGCATCGACGGCAGTTCGGTGGTCGCAACAGTCAACTAAACACCAAATAGAAGTTGAGCATGGTCGAAAACTTATGATGCTACGTTAAGTCATTTGTAACCGAGCTGTTTTCAACCCATTCTTGGCTGCAATCATGTGTCTTCTTGCCTGTGAAGTGTGAAGTGGCGGAGTGAAGGAAGGGATGCCAAGCTAATACAACGCCCTTAATCAGCGGGACAAGTAGAGGTACTGGAAATCAGTGAAAAGTCCACGAGTGAAGCAGGTCACTCGGAAAAGAGAGGAGCACCTCTCAGCCCTACCTTGTATCAGGATGAAGTATGAAAACTGAACAGGAGGCGAGCGGAACCAACATGAGTTGAGTTTAAAGCAGATGCTACGAGATGAAGAATCACTTACACTTCTTTCGATAAGCCGCTGGTGCGTTGCCAAAGTTCAGGAGAATTTTGAAACTGGTAAGTATATATGCAGAGTAGAATTGCCATAGAGTAGACGACGAGGAACCACCAAAAGAAGATCATCTGTTGCCGCCAAAAGCTGTAACTGATCTGCCGAATGAAAGCAAAAAGATAGAGAGCAGAGTAACCGTGATGGGCGTACCAGCTGTAATCTTAATAGTCACCGCATAGTGCAACCGCGAGAATGAAACGGAAATCAAGACCTTGATTTGGAGGCGATTGCGATGCGCAGACCAGTGGTTGTTGGCAAGCTAAACTAAACACGTGTCGAGTGCTACTCCAGATCGTGCGTAATGCAGAGTTAAGAGAAATATTTCATCCCAATATCAAACGGTGTGTAGACCAATAAAGGTTAAACTGAAAGCCAAGCAGCGGACATCAGAGAGCAGTTAGAAGTAAAACGGCCTGATAGTAAAATAGCAGGCCCAGGACGACCGTAAAGATTCAACGAGAAGGTAACTGTGCAAGCTTCTGATACAGTACCACATGAGTGTTATCCATAGGCAAGTTAGTGAACACAAAGAGAGACACATAAAGATAGCACCACACATCAATCGAAACATACTTGGAAAGTGAACATGAAGTAGATCAGCATCACCATGTAGAATATGCGGAAAACCACCACCGGTTGTTGGGTGGAGATGAAGAGCATGCTCAGACAGCAGACGACTATCCAAAATTTGACGCAAAGCGCGTGTAAGAGTTCCGCTGCGGAGAGGGTGAATGACACATGGATGAATGTGGGAGGAGAAACCGTCAGAAAACGACAAGATCAGTGCACTCCAGAGCATACCATGTGGCAAACAATGAAGAAATGGATGCCATGCGAGTCGTGATGACCTGGAATCAATGCTCTGCAAGCTTATCCCAGTATCCACCAGAAAAAGAGGATACAGGACGTGGCGTGACGTGGTAGAGCAGTTGGTGGAGAACTATGGCGAACAATGCAATTTTTGGAGGGTCTGTTGGCTCGAAGAGACGATTTGAGCACCCACTTGCTTTGAAAATCCCGGTTTCGTAATGTTTCGCCGGGGGTGTCAGAATACTAAGGATCAGATCAGTCGACGCATGTAAAGAGGATAAATGCAATCGTTTGATTCAACGGGCCTAGAGTTAGAGACTGGACAGCGTAGTAACTCAAGGAAAGATCAGGTAAGCTTGATCAACATACTACTGCCTTGAAGCAAAATGTCCAAGGCTAATGTTTTGGCTGGAGTATTTGGCAATAAATAAACCAAAATTTCAGTGTCAGTAGTGTGAATCGTCCGAAACATAATGATATCGCATACACACGGCCTCAAAGGGATAGCTGCATATGAAAAATGCCCTAATAATTAGATCCATCAGTAAGCGCACCGGCGTCCTCGAGCAGGGTTGACAAAACAGCTGTGCGTTCAACTCTTGAACGGATGAGAAATCGGGCACGTCAGATCGACTGATGTAAAGAGACTGGTTACGTTCGACCGTCGCTGGCGTCGCAGTTTAGCTCATATTTGATAGGAATACTGCGTAGCATAGTTGGTGAAGTAAAAGCGAGTGAATCACACAGCAACATTATTTCACTGATCAAGCTCCGATGGTTTGGTGGTATGCTACGTATGCCAGCACATCAATCCTCGTGACGCAGGTTGTTTGCGCGATCGAGGTGTAGAAGGAAGGAGGATAGGCCGCTCGATGGCTTGGCTGGGAGGAATAAAGACGCTGACTTCGAATTTGGCCTCGGTTGGGGTTTCCCGACAGCCGCTATATGGTGCCCGAGGACGATGAACACGTCTAGTTGGATACACTTGTTCACATTGCGAAGATCTAAGTTCAGTGGCATTTGCGTTGTGTTTCCTCGACCTTATCCCACTTGCTAAGCTTCTCTCTCTAACTGCGATTTCATACTGAAAAGCATAATATGGTACTAAGCACAAAATCACATATTTTTGGTTTTATTTCGTATCCTGTAATGTTTAGCATCTCATTTTTCCATATCTCTGCTGCTTATCAGAAATTCATCTACAAGATTCGAGTGCTGTGATTATGCTGCCATACCCAACGTGCGATGCCGTCGGCATTTTCTCATAGTGCTTGTCCGGAGATGACGCAGCTTCAATTGTCGGTTAAGCCGGCATTGTTTTAAGTCCTCGGACTGAAGCTGCCCTGATCTATTGCAGTCCAGTCAACCGCCGGATGTGCGCTGTCAGACTGGCTGGCTCATTCAAAGTGCCGAAGTCGCGTAGGGACAAACTGTTTTGGCTTGTCATTGCAGCTTGCGCGCCCAAGTGTAGCGCTGACTTGGGAAAAGACGACTTCTATCACCAATTGAACGCGCTCCCTTGTTACAGAAAACGTATGGATACTATGGTGTTTGCTGGTGATCTAAACGTCCAAGTCGGAGAATTGTCCTCTGATGAGTTTCATCTGGGCGGTTAACACAGGGTAGGCTCCAGCAATGATAACCGTTAACGATTGCTACACCTGTGTAAAGATGCTTGCCTTTATCTTTCGAGCACTAACTTCCGATACAGTACCCTCAGAAGGGTGTAATGGTGCCATCAACCTCGAACTAGCCATGAACACAAATATATTTACAGTAGGATGAGATGGCTATCCTCCGTAGCTCAGTGGTCTCAACCACGGACTGGCAACAGTCGAGTTGCGGGTTCGAGCCCTACCAGGGTCCGATGGAATGCGCACTGCTGGCGATTCCCGAAAGGACGAAACGCGCGTACGGTGCATTTCCGGGTGTATGACGACTGTCTGAGTGAGTCTAGAAATTCTTCTTATACAAATATATTTGTAACGAATGTGCGCAAGTGTGGTCGCGTTAGCTTGGACGAGTTACGCTCAACCGGAGCACGGACTCTATTCACGCGTGTATTCGGATGGCGCACTGAGTCCTCGAAAATGGACAACGACACGCACACCGGAAAAGTACACGCGCGAGGCATTGACGAACGCGGAACTCACGACTAGAGCTGCGCACCGATTACGTGACCACTCGGGTCCTAACTACCGACAGTGGAGACGAAGCGGACCGCTGGGAACTCTTTTACGACCTACAAAGGCCGAATCAAAGTGGGGACAATGCTTCTTTTTGGGGATGAATGAATCACCCCGTAGAGATGGTGGTTTATGAAAGAAAATTGTCCACTTTAGCTCAGCTGTGCTCCGGCTCCGAGGGGCTAAATCCTGCTACGGTATGCGCAAGAATTGAACTCCGCTTCTCGCAACCCATGCGTTGGATTCTGTGGCACATTTTTGCGGGGATTTTTGACGTGAACGCAACACAGTGTGTACCGCTTCTGACGAGGATTGACCTGGAGGGGGTTCAGTGATCTCCGGATTCTTCCTGTTCGTCGATAAGGCGGGTTCGCCAGACGTAGCGGCGTGGGCGGCTTCGACCGCGGTCTGCCGTTGTGTAGCCATTCCGAAGGTATCCAACAAGATGTGCGGCGGCAGGTACACAGGAATACTGACTACCGTGAAAGGTTTTTCGTGGCGCGCTCGAAGTTGACTGCGATGGCGGACTCACGTGTCACCATCCACGGAGACAACATGCAGCATATCACCTCGACGAGGCGTCACTGTGGCTTTGATCTAGCGTGGATGACCTGCCTGATAGACGCGAGCGTATACCGGGGCTCCAAAGACGAATTCATTGTGCATGGTGCAGGTAGTAGATTGACTTGGTGGCATTTCGGTCGGAATGAGCGCTTCCTTAGTGGTGCGTAGCTTGCGGTTCATCAATGTCTCAGTCGGAGACTGATATCCTGGAGCAGCTGGGTTTGGTGTGGATCGATAAAGCAAAAACGCTTGAAGGTATTCATTCACGGTGCCCTCCGCACGAGATTTCAAGAGTGCCCTCCTGAAGGTGTCAACCAACCTCTCCGCTTGACCATTGGACTGGGAATGTTAGGGCGGTGTTGGATGTAATGTCGGCGACAAAGTCTTCAAACATAGAAGACTTGAACGGAGCCATTGTCGGACACCAAAACGTCGTGAAGGCCATATTGACTGAAGATTGGTTGCAGACAACCCAGCGTAGCGGATGAGGTTAGTGTGTTGGGGGCGACCACTTCAAGCAATTTGGAATAGGCGTCGACCACGATCAGGTAGGAAATGCCATCGATCGGACCAGCAGTCGATGTGCACTCGAGACGACGGTTTTTCTGGAGGTTGGTGTGGTGGCATCTTGGATGCTTGTTGACAACTTGAGCAAGAGCGAACCAAAATCGGCAAGGTTGGATCGTACTGGGTCAGCAGCAGGTCAGAACTCAGCATGGATTTCAGACGAACGAAGACCTTCTCGCATGCGGGATACCAGTGGCCAAGGGACGTCCTTCTGCAACAGTCGACTGAGGGGGGGATCGAACATCGTATAGTAATGGCAGAAAAACGCTGTAATAACAGACGAGACCCGGGAAGGGCCGCAGCTGTGACACATTCGCTGGAGCCGGCATCAGCTGGATGGCTCTGACGTTCTCAGGATCAGGATGACGGATATTGGCATCGAAAAGGAAATCAAGGTATTTGATCAATGGAAGAAAGAATTGACATTTCTCGGCTTTCAAGAAGAAATCATACTCCTGGACAAGCTGAAGGACCGCAACCAGGCGCTCTTGAAGCTCTTCCGGGGTGCGTCCAACAATGAGTAGATCGTCCAGGTACGCGGCCGTACCCGAAATGCCAGAGATCATGGTGCCCATCATCAGTTGGAAAATGACCGGAGCGATTTTGACACCAAACGGGAGCCTGGTGTACTGGAGAAGACCACGAGGTGTGTTGATCGACAAGAAGGATTGTGACTCAAGAGGAATTTCGATCTGCAGGTAGGCGTCTGCCAAGTCGATTTCAGCGAAACACGTATCATCGTTGAGTATCGTGAAGAGGTCGGCTGGGATCGGTAGCGGGTAGCAATTTGGCACCAGTGCAGCGTTGTGAGCGGTGGAGAAATCGGCACAGATGCGGAGAAATCCCATCTCTAGCGCCACTGTGACGGTTGCGATAGCTTAGACAAGAGTTACGCACACACGATCAGGTGACCACGCGGTTCCCAACCACTGAGAGAGGAGACAAGAGAAGACGAAGGAAACCTCTGGGAGATCTTTTACGACCTACAAAGGCCGAATCACAGTTGGAACAATGCTTCCTTTTGTGGATGAATGAATCATCACGTAGGGCTGGCGGTGTAGGTAAGAACATTGTCCACTTTAGCCTAACTGCGTTCCGACTTCGAGCGGCCAGATCCTGCTACGCTGTGGGCCAGAAGTGAACTCTGCTTCTCGCAGCCCACGCGCCGGATTTTGTGGCGAATTTTTACGGGGAAATTTGATGTACCCGCAATAATATTACATCGAGATCACTTATTGCGGGAGAGGATGCATTCAAAAATGTCGTCTAAATTAGAGCACAAGTGTGGTCTCTGACCATGCACATGTTTACGCCGAACTGCTGGTGCGTTTCAGTGGACGTCCGCAACGGCGCTGTGAGCGTATAGATACCAACTGGCGAAGTCAGATATTTTGAATGCGCAGCAAAGTATGCTGGAATCTGACCTGAGTAAACACTCACTGAAAACAGTTGAGAATCACTGAGCGCACATCCACAAGACGTTATTTGCAGCAGGCATGTCTTCATGTGGCAAATCAAATTTCCAACCAAAACATCGGGTCTTCAACCAGAACTTCTGAATGCTAGCCAATGTGTTCCGGTTGAAAGTAAATACAATGAGAATCGCAAAGATCTCAGGGTGGAGCCGCGTGCTAGCCTGAAAAGCGCGAAACGTTGTGGTCTCAGCATACAACAGAGATGGAGACAGCTGCTGCTGTTGATTACCATCGGAAGTTATTCCGTCTGATACGAGAAACGTGCACCGGGAAACCTGGTGTTAGCGGGACCATATGCGACGAGAGTGGACAGCCGATCTACGGCTTGTCAAAGCGCCTAGAGCGTTGGGCCGAACACTATGAGAAGTCGGATAATCAGTCAAGATAACCAGTTTCTCCCTCGGCCAATGAGCACACTAGTCCTTGGGCCATCCCCTTGGATCGACTCTCACACGCGTGAGATCAGACAGCTGAAATTGAACAAGCCCGCCAGAGCAGATGGACATCATCCAGCCCTCTCCAAATTTTGGGGACCTGCTATTTTTGACGATTTACATAACTTACCAGTATGGGAGCAGAAGACTGTCCAGACAGACTGGAGGCGCTAGGTAATATTTCTAATTTTCAAGGGAGGCTCCCGTTCGGAATGCGGCAGCCATAGATGAACCAATCTGAGCTCTATTGCCCCTAAGTTACTTGCCTCTGCCGTAATTCATAGACTAATTGGCGTCCGTGATAGCCAGATACGCGAGCAGTAGACCGAGTTTCGCTGAAATCGAGACTGTGTCGACCACATCTTTAAAGTAAGTCAGTTGTTGGAGCACCGCTATGTTTATTGGTGACCCACCGTTGCTAGACATCAAAGGGGCCTTCAAATCTATTGATTGTTGTGCCATTTGGGACTGCCCACACAGGAAAGGTGTCCGAGAAACATGTAAATGTTATAGGAGCGGTCTACACGCGCAGTTAGGCCAAATTGAGGGCTAACGGCAAACTTTCGCCGCCCTTCAATATCTCCAGCGGTAGGAGACAACGCTGCCCGCTGTCACCTTTCCCTTTAATTTCGCCTTTGACGAAGTAATGGAGACTGCGTTCGCTGGAAATGACCGACGAGATGTGGGGCTGCTCCCAAGAGATCCATTTCTTCTTGACTTGGAGTACGCGACGACATTGCCCCTTATCTGTGACAGCTTTCAAACGGGTCATCTAGCATGGGACAAATTAGCATTGGCTGTAAGTCGTTTCGGGCTATGCCTGACGCCCTCGAAATGCAAAGTTCTTCACCAATATTGACAGGGATCCAACCCTGCGCTGACTCTGTGTGGTGATCAGCTTGATGTCATCCAGAAATATAAGTATCTAACCATCGCAATGAAGCTGGACCTGACCGTGGTGCGATGGTTTGTGTGCCTCAGCGATCCATTGAGCTATGCTGGGTGGTACATTTTTGCACCTTCAGAGTCACTCATACCAGATTGGTCAATGGTTAGAGGCCAGACAAACTCAGCCTCCTGCTCCTCCAGGTTGGGGGTTGGAATGAGGGTGGTTCCTTATTCCTTAAAACGGACTCCTTGTAGCCCAACGCCAAACCCGCTGCCTTACGGTCTGGTTTTTGAACCAAAGGCTTTGGTTGAGAACCCTAATCCTTCTCATGTCTAGGCTTGGGCAACCTGACAGTATCCTGCTCACGCAATACACTGAATCATTCGTTAAACTATTTCTTGATGCTCTGGCTAAAGTAGGGGATAAGCAACGGCGTCCTATCTGCTGCATCGAGCAGAGCGCATAGGGGTTCGTATGCCAGTGCTAAAGCCTTCCCGTCTTCTTATTCTCCCTCTTACGCGTTTTCACTCTTACCGTCCCGTTCTAACTTCACTTTTATCCCCCCTGTTTTCAACCCCCAATCCTTGGCCCTCCAGCATCTTGCTTTGGTAGATTTTTACCCTTCAGTTTCAACTCACATGTGAACGCGGAGTGTCATTCCTGCACTGTTGACAAGCCAATGTCCAACCAAGCGGCCAAGCCCAGTTCACTGGCTTCCATTTGGAGCCCCGATCATCCTTCGGACTGGCATGCCTCAATCTACGGACATTGCTGCACACACACATACGCACATTGCTGTCACTTTTCCTCTTCAACTTCGCTATTGAAGAAGTAATGGAAATCGTGTTTACAGGAAACGACTTAGAAGGGGTGTATTTGCTACCAGAACGACTTCTTGACTTAGAGTATGCTGATGAGATTGCCCACATCTGTGACAACCCACAAACGTGCCAAACGGCACTGGACAGATAGGCACTGGCTGTCCGTCACTTCGGGTTTTGCTTCACACCCTCGAAAGGCAAAGCGTTCCATCAACATTGGACTGAACGGCCTCCTACGCTGACCCTTGGTGGGAATCAGCTAGAAGTCGTTCAGAAATTCAACTACCTGGGAAGTTGTATCAGCGCCCGTGGGATCGAAGATGAGTTCACGAATCGTATAGCAAAAGCTCGGGGCGCTTTTGCTAACCTTCGCCACTTATGGCGCCGGAGCGACATCACTCTCGCCCTGAAGGGTAGAGTGTACAATGCAGCGGTACGTTCGACTCTACTGTACGGTTGTGAAACCTGGCCGCTTAAAGCAGCGGACCTGAAGAGGCTAGTTACGTTCGACCACCGGTGCCTTCGTAATTTAGCACACATCTGGTGGGAACAACGCGTGAGCAACGAGCGTGTTCGACGCCTCGTTTACGGTACAGGAAAAGGATCTGAACCGTTCAGCACCGTTATTTGACGCATCAGGCTCCGATGGCTCGGCCAGGTGTTACGCATGCCAGCCCACCGACTCCAGCGACGTGTGTTGTTTGTGCGCCGGCGGTGTGGATGGAGGTAGAGGAGGGGTGGCCAAGTGATGACGTGGCCGAGAGGAATGAAGGCCCTCACTTTGACCTTGGCCTCGGTTGGAGCCCCTCGGCTTCCTGTTTGGAGACCGAAGAACGATGAGCACATTCGAGTGAATGCACTTGCTGCATGGCTAGGAGCCGACCTTAATGGCGTTCGCGTTTTGAGTCTCTATCCATCCCCATCTCTCTTAGTCTACCCCTCCAAGCACGATCACATTTCTTGGCAAAACATAACTTTAATAATAAGTTTCTTGCTACACAGTAGTCGGCAGGTAGCTTTCCGGAACGATGCCCATCCGTTACCGGTAGCTCATCTGACTTGCAACTGTTGCATATTTCTCTCCTTTTTTCTTCTACGTATTGCGGCATAGTAGCTGAGGTGTTTCCCATCTTTAGCTAACGTGTATAATGATGATGATGATGATAAGTATTTAAACAGCTATATCAGCGCCAGCGGAAATGAAGATGAGATCACAAATCGCATAGTAAAAGCTCGAGGCGTTTTGTCAGTCTCCGCCACCTGTGGTGCTGCCGTGACATTATTCTCGCTCTGAAGGGAAGAGTTTACAGTGCAGCCGTCCGTTCAAACGTTCCTGTACAGTCGTGAAACCCGGCCCATCAAGTCGACTGACTTAAAGAACCTTGTTACGTCCGACTATCGCTGTCTTCGTAGCATAGTGCATGTCTGGTGGGAACACTGCGTGAGCAATGAGCGTTTTCTGCGTCGCATATTTGTTGCAGGAAGAGCGAGCGAACCGCTCCGCACCATTATATCACGCACCAGGCTCCCATAGCTAGGCCACGTGTTGCGTATATCAGCACACCGACTACCGGATCGTGCACTGTTTGTGCGCCCGGAGTTTGGATGGAAGGAGAGCAGGGGAGCGAAGCGATGGCTTGGTCGAGAGGAATGAAGTCTCTCATTTCGAATCCGGCGTCGGTTGGTGTTTCCCAACTGTCAGCTTTGGTACCGAAGGATGAGGAACACGTTCGGTTGGATACACTAACTGAGATGGAGAAGAGCTGACCTCAGCGACGTTTGTGATGAGAGTATTTTTGTCCCTCCTCTCCACTTTAGTCTCCCCTCCAACAACGATCTCAAACCCTATGCATAATTTGATTTTTAGCATTGTTACTTTTTATAGTTTTTAGTCTTTAATGTGTAATCTCCTCTTTACTTGTATTGCAGTACTTTAGATAAGGTGTGTCTCGTCCTCAGTTAACGCGTACTGATGATATCTTTCTCTTGTATTGCGGCACAACAGCTTTGGGGTTTTTCGCCTTCGGCTCACATGTAATGATAGCTATTATTAGGAGAATGGATTTACAGACTGATGGATGGCCATTAATTTGGAGTACATGGTCAGCTAACTTGACTTGAATCTCCTGAGGAATCAGACCACAAAATTATGCGTAGATTTAAGTATAGCTTCCCGTACAATCTGATCTGAAGTTGCGGTGAGGTAGTAACTAGGGAATTTGGTTGACATCCCAAGTTCACCATCTGTTGCAAGTATTGCCTCGCGCAACGGTCGACTCGAGCATGTAGTTAAAATATGAACTAAGTGGACAAACATGTCGGCCGAAACGAATCGGAAATTAGTCAAATTCACGAAACATAAGTAAAATACGACAAAATCTAGCAATTAGGGGATAAAAAAGGCTATCATGTGCTGATACTCACTGAATTTCTTGTACATTGAGTTATCTACGTTGCCGAAGGGGAAGGAGACGCCAAACCACAATCCAACCGTGGCCAATGACTGTTTACGATCAGTGGAAGGAATGGCATTAGTATGAGGCTCTTCAGCTACAGTGGAGCGGCCGTAAGGAGTGGCCCATTGTGAAGTCTCTGTGATATGATTCGCTTGGGTAGTCGTTCTGAGTCGTTGCTCGGAACGCTCGTTGATGAACAGGCGTAACGTAAGCCAGAAGCACACCAAGAAAGTTATCTAGAATAAACACAAAATGAAACCACATGGAAACTAATAAGCTGTGTACCCCACAGCACAGATAGTATCATTTAGCAGAAAGGGTAATCTTCCGTGACATGTTCAGTGTAGGCAAATGAAGAGGATGAAAGAATATGAGATAGCTAGTTGGCGCACAGATATGCATTGGTGCAAGGTGCCGTTAATGTAATACGATAGTTGGCTGTGATCTTTGATGCGTAAGTGGGGCATCAGCAGTACGCTGCATTGACGCGTCGCTGCCACAGTGGCATGCGGTTCAGGAATGCTGCGGGTCACGCGTTCCCACGCAGGCTCGAACTGGTGACCTCTGGATGACAAGCCAGACGCTTGGACCACTTGGCTACAGGCCAGATGCAAACGGAAAGGTTAAATGGGATCATCACCGGTGCAACGAACTGAATCGTTCTGCCATACTTGAGTAGTTGGATATCCGCTAAAGTGTCGAACAGCTCATGACACGCATTCCCCCATCTCACATGTCCTCTCGGATCGATTGAGACGCAGTGTTAGCATGTGATGAGGTGTAACTTGAAAAAGGTGAATACAAGAGGAAACAAGGAAAGATGGAGAGATTCACTCACCTGCAGACTAAGTGCACCAACCGAGTTTGACCATTTATGCATTCCCAATTCGGAAAGTCTCATCCCGTCGGGAGTAACTTCCTGTGGAAGTTCTTCTGCTGTTAAGTTCAGACCATACACATATTGTATAACGATGAGGACAATGGCGTACAACACAATCAACGGGCTGGCGTACAGGCAAGCGGTTCGAGAATTCGGGCTAATCCATAAAATACAAGCGGAGAGTAGCAATATGAACGACAGCCAACTTCGGTACGCAACAGCCCATGCCTGAAAATGAAAACGAAAGTTGCAAATTACGTGAACGACAAGGAAAATCGTTATGAGCATTCAACAAGACGGGTTGATAAGCAGGATATGCGATGAAGCGATACAGCTCTGCAGAAATTCAATTTCAAAGTAGGGCAAAAAGGTTTTGCAGTGAAAGTGATTACACACAACTTCTTGTGTTGATGAAGATCACTTACCATCATAGCGATTAGCGTCACTATGTAACTGTTTCGTATGGCCGAACAATGTAGACTCAAGAGTAACGGCCGCTCGGAACGCACGTTGTTTGCGTTCACAGTGTCGCACATGACGGGGACAAACGGGGAGGTGAAACCGATCAATGTGTCCACGTGAGGTTGCACACGATCCGTGACGTAATTGCTCAACTTCACATGCGGTTTCTCCGCCTTGCGACTGTGGGAGTCCGATGAGGTGTGTAATTCGCGTGAGGGCGGTAGTGGTACCAGAGGAATAGAGCACAGTCCAGATTTCTCAATGTCTGCGACAGGTACCACTGATCCACGCCCTGAGGTGACTGGATATCCGAGGTTGCCAGCAGAGAGCTCATTGACATTGACTGAATCGGACTGAGGGGTTGCTAAAGGGGCGACGGCGGTTGTGCTACATGTGGCGACGTTAGTGGTGAATTTACCGCTGCCAGATATCTCAGCTACAGTTGCCAAGATATTAGGAGCATCGGAAGAGTCTGCAGAGTATCGCGCCTGTTCCAACACAAGTGGAGCGACTAGAGGTGGAGTGGTTTCTTGTGTCGCATAGAAAGGGTTCTGAAAAGGTTAAAAAGAATAAAAACAAACCATTATTCCCATATATATATATATATATATATATATATATATATATATATATATATCTGGCCCCTGGCAGTAGTCGGCAGTGTCACAACATGTGGGTGAGGAGAATATGGTCAAGAGAAAGGATTTTAAGACGGTGAACAGAGCTGAAAGGTCACAAAATAAGCCCCTCACTGTGTGCGAGCTTTGATTATGTCTGACAGCGTTTCCAATCAGGCGTGTTCGTAGGCTCTGCACCCCTATCTCAGGAGCTGGGAGCACCCAACCAACGCCAAACTAGAGGTTAGCGCCTTCACACTCAGAGCCAAAATGACTCACTGACCACCCTAGAGCCGAGTCCAACGTACGTGCCCAAGCGTACGAGGTCTGTGAACTGATACAATCAGCTTAGTGGTCGATAGCGTCTGTCTGATTAAAAACAGATAGCCATGGTACATCTTTTGTGCGAACAGGTCAAGTCTAGTAACCATACCATAGAACCGCTCTAACCATGCCATCGTAAACTGGACCCTTCAGAGAGATGCTTAGGCCACACACCGTTGACGAAGGTAGGCAAAAGTAACATGGTTTTAGAAATGCGCAGAGACCTCATCGGTTAAACAAGTGTGGTTCGCAACATTTTTGAGCCTGTTACTCACAAATCGGGTTCATTATGAACAAGTATTCCGCAAAAATTCTAGTTTAAAAACTAACTAGCTATTAACTAAGCCGGTTTTGTCTTAAATTACAGAAAATAAGTACTACTGTTAAATACTTTCAAGCATTCAAGAAAAGAAAACACCCAATTTTGAGCAATTTTTACATAAGCAAAAGGTGATGTACCTTAATGATGCAGATGATATTGATTAGTTCTAACAATTTCTGGTATTTGGCTGAGAAAATATCAAAAGACAGCAGAACGAACAAGCTCGTTTTCAGTGATTTCGCATTAGGCCAATACACCACAAATGAATGATATGAACACAAACATCAGATAAGGGTACAGGTTCAAAACTCAGATGGTCTGAGTGACTATGCCAGATGATTGGCCCCACGGCGATCAAGAGTGTGTTTGTGTGTGTGTAGCATTGTCCACAATGTGTCCGTGTTACAGAAGACCAGGGTAGAGTTAGTGCTTGGACAAATTTCTTGTGTGCACATAGGTCAGAGTCATGACGCCTGAAGGCCATTGTTTCGGCCGCTGCCAGTAGAGGATATCTAACCGCTGTTGTGTGGCATCTGGTTATCCGGTAGATGGGCTGGAACGCCTCATGCGCTCTGACCTGGTGGCTCGAGTCGACCAGGTGTGTAGACCCTGCGCTTGTCACTGATCTGGTCACGCTGCTATGCCGCCAAGCTGGACAGTGTTCCCTGGCTCTCTCAGACAGTCTCCTGGTAGTTCTTCCGATATTTCACGGTATATTTGGTACGGTTTCGTTCAACGAAAGTTCCTTGAATGTGGTTCGGTTCCTTGTTATGGTGTTTGATCCATGAACATGAACAGATGGCAGTGGCTTCTCATTTGTTTCAAGCATATCTTTTAAGTCCGCCCTGGAGGACAGCTTCCCTCCGCTACTCTGTGTCGATACATCCTGAACACTAAGAGCCTATTTTGTCCCTTCCTCATTGTGATCAGTCGAGCACTCCTTTACCCAGTCGGCCGACTTATATTAATGCTTTAATGTTCACTCAACAGTAATTCGACCTGGCGAAAAACCGAGGAGTAAGCCAATAGAGGTGCCAGCTAGCTTCGCTGCTTAGCAGGCTTCTATCGGTATTCTAGTAATGAAATTTACTACCGAAAGTTGTCTAATTCACTAACTACTCACCAGTGATTAGTCACTGATGGTTAATTAACAGTGGTTAGGTAGTCACATGTTTTGATACAGATGGTTTTGTTATTAATTTTGTTTGACAACAGATTAATGACGTCTCGTAAAATTCCATTTTACCAGGTTGAGAACCACTGAGTTAGACCGTCGACAGTAAAGCAGCTTCCGAGACAAACGAACTTGTCTACGACTTCCAAAGGAGAGCACGATAGGGAAAAAGTAGAGGCAGCTAAAGACCGGTATTGCAAGAAGATTTTACACTGTAAAGAAGTGAAGGCCATTCCAAATTGGTCGATAACCGACATAGAATATTTAGGTGCCTTGCAAGGAATGACAAATTACGACGAGCTCGTCAGACAGATCGACGCCGCCGGATTCGTAACTGTTCAGAGTATACTTCAGAATGTCATCCATAGCGATATACGGCACTCGTTCCGTTGCCTTATGGGCCAGGTCTTAACGACCGGAATAGGGTGGAAAACCCATTCAGGGGGACAAAAAATTAGACTCGACTCATTACTATCAGCAGAAATCGATAAGGACATTGATGAGCACTTGAGAGCTGTATGGCTCACAAACGCTGCGTGGGGTGGTGGTCAGCAAAGATTTAATGGAATACAGCACCCACCAATAATGAAGGAGGCGAAGAAGTACAGCGTGTCGTCTATCGGTCGATTCGACATAGACTGCAGGTACTGAAAGACCAAAAATTGTTGTTCCGGTTTCATTGTTGAAAAAAGGAGGATTCGGGAGGAATGAAGATATGAGAACAATCAGTAGGGTAGCAATGGCCGAGATCTCCTGGTTTCCCAATCGCATGGGAGGCGACATTCGATGCTACCCACCTGTAGCAAAAAGTCTAACTAACAAAAATAGTTAGAAGAATGGGGACACATACTAATGAGACTCCACTCAGTGTTCAAACAAACAGACCGACGTAGAAGGCAGTGGAAAAGTGGTTCAGTCCTGGATCTGAGAGGGGATCAGCTTGGGACATGCTATGCACAATCAAAATCAGTTCAGTTCAGTTGATCAACTATGATCCGAGCACCGAAGTGAGGTGCATCTAAGTGCCAAGACTCACGTCGCGAGTAACAATAAATCACAACGGCAAGATAGCGAGGTTGAATGAAAATAGGACGAAAAGAAAATGGAAGACAGAATGGAACGAAAATTAACACAATCGAAAGAAAGTCAAAACGACGACCGCCAACTAGTACGAGGCCCGTCGTGGGGTGCATTGTTGCCGGCGGGGAACAACATGTACCATTTAGCTGTCTCAGATGCGGGTTTAGTGACCAAGCTGGACGAGATTCACTTCAAAGTGAGTAGTGGTCCGCTTTGAGAATGCTTGTCACAATCCATCTGCACAACGGATGATTCAAATGAATCAACAATGAACTAATTTGTATTTCTGTGCCTAATTTGGCGCAGTGAAGAATAGTTGAGTTCCCGCAGTTTTATGTATCATCGGGGACGGGCTGCTTGGCTTGAGGCTGATAAGGACAAACAATCGCGCAGCGGATATACCCCCACAACATTAAGGACAACACGTGACACTAGGGTTCTGAGTCAACTGAGCTAAGCAACAAATCGCAAACTGTTGTCTTCGCCGACCGAGTTTTCAAAGAAGAGAGCAGTCAGCCTACTGAAACTTGATGAAATTAAACAACTAGACTGAACGGTATGAATTCTCCAATAGAGTTCTGTGCAACCCAACATATCTCAGTGGATGAAGCAATTAGGAGAAACGCTGAACCACTTAAAAATTCATGATTAGGGGAGGACCATAACTCGTGAGTCATACGAGGAAGAGTAGTTCATTGGTTTCGAAATACTTCAGCTCTACCCGAATCTTAAGTGCGAATTTTAACCTCTAATAGTTCCGATGAATAGTTGAAAAATTATTGTCTGTGTGACAGGCTAACAAAACCTGTTCCTGTGTGCCATTAAGAAATGTGACAGATCACATTATCACATGTTCACCAAAGTAAGCCAGTGCATCACACCTAGAGCGGTATGCAGATGGGCTAAAAATTACTGGATAGGGTAACTCGGAGTTGAGTGACAGCGGCTATATAAAAGCAGCGGAAGTTGCGAAAACGGATGAACAAACAGGACCGGTTGGTAAATTGTAGGGAAAGCTTGGATCAGAAACCAACACACGCGCTAGGTCGTGTGCTGACTATGGGTTGAATCGCCCCGTAAAACATTGCAGATATAATCTAGAATCATGGTCTAACCTAAGCTGAGTTGCACAAGAACCCAACCATCGCAATGAGGCTGAAGCTTACCGTGGTGCGATGGTTTGTGTGCCTCAGTGATCCATTGAGCTATGCTGGGTGGTACATTTTTGCACCTTCAGAGTCACTCATACCAGATTGGTCAATGGTTAGAGGCCAGACAAACTCAGCCTCCTGCTCCTCCAGGTTGGGGGTTGGAATGAGGGTGGTTCCTTATTCCTTAAAACGGACTCCTTGTAGCCCAACGCCAAACCCGCTGCCTTACGGTCTGGTTTTTGAACCAAAGGCTTTGGTTGAGAATCCTAATCGTTCTCCTGTCTAGGCCTGGGCAACATGACAGTATCCTGCCCACGCCATTTCATGAACCATACCTCAAACAAATTTTTGATGCTCTGGCCACCGCATAGGATAATCAACGGTGCCCTATCTGCAGCATCGAGCAGGGTGGATAGGGGTATGGATGCTACTGCTCAAGCCTTCCCGTCTTCTTATTCTCCGTTCCACGCGTTTTAACTCTTACCGTCCCCTTCCAACTTCACTTATATCTCCCCAGTTTTCAACCCCCCACCAACATGCTTTGCTAGGCATTTATCTTCTAATTTCAACTCACATGTGAACGCGCAGCGTCACTCCTCTCCTGTCGACAAGCCCATGTCCAACCAAGCGGTCCATTCCAGTTCATCGGCTTCCATTTGGAGCACTCGATCCTCCTTCAGATTGGCATGCCTCAATGTACGCACACTGCTACAAATCGGTCAACAGGCAGCACCTGCCTGAACATTGGAGACCCTCTCGATCGATATCTGCTGCTTATCAGAGACCCGCCTGCAAGACTCGAGCTCTGTGCTCACTCTGCGATCCCCTTCAGGTGACGTAAACAGTATTTTTTCAGTGTGCCTATCCGGTGACGATGCAGCTTCGAGCACCGGCCAAGCTGGTGTTGGCATTGTCCTGAGTCCCCGAGTTGAAGCTGCTCTGGTTGATTGGATTCCAATCAGTAGCCGGATGTGTGCGGTCCGATTGGCTGGCTCGTTTAAGGCTTCGAAGTCGCGCGGGACTAATAGATGTCTATTCATCATCACTGCCTACGCGCCCCCAAACTATAGCGATGGTTCGGTAAAAAACGACTTCTACCGCCAACTGACTCAGCTCCTTCGCCACAGAAGAAGCAAGGACACTATTGTGCTGGCGGGGGATATGAACGTGCAAGTTGGAAAGTTGTCCACTGATGAAATGCATCTGGGCGGTCAGCACGGTGTAGGCTCCCGTAATGATAACGGTAAGCGGTTACTTCATTTATGTGAAGATGCTCCCTTATTTCTTGCCAGCACTAATTTTCGACACAGCACCCGCCGGAGGGTGACTTGGCGTCCACCAGTCTCGAACCAGCCTTGGACGCAGATCGATCACATGGCTATTAGTTACCGCTGGAGAGGCTGCATCCAGAATTGTCGCTCGATTTAGAGGACATGTGTGGACACCGATCATGCACTTGTATGTGCTGACATGCGGATGCGCTTTGGCGGACGCCCACGACAACACTGTGAGCGCATTGACACCAGCCAACTGATGAAGCCAGCTGTTCTGATTGCGTATCGAAGTACGCTGACATGCGAGTTGAGTAATCGCTCACTGGAGACAATTGATGGTCACTGGTCACATGTTTGCCAGACCTTACTAGAAGCAGGCAAATCCTCATGTGGGATGTCTAGTAGCCAACATGGACATTAGGTCTCTTCTCGGTCTCTGGAACTTATCGACACTCGCCGGCATATCCCGGCTGGAAGCGAGCACAATGAAAATCGCAAAGTGCTCCGGGTAAAACTCCGCGCTAGCCTGAAGAGAGACCGCGAATCTTGGTGGTCTCATCGTGCGTCAGAGATGGAAGTGGCCGCTGCCCTTGGCAACCATTGTAAGTTATTCCGTCTGATACGATAAACGGGCAGCGGGAGAACTGGTGTTAGTGAAACAATTTGTGATGAGAGAGGACAGCCTATCCACAATTTGTCAAAACGTTTGGAGTGTTGGGCTGAGCATTTTGAAAAGCAATTTAATCGGCTAGAATTGTTCGATTCGTCGGTCACTGATCGCCCTGCTCCGTGGGCTGTCCCTTTGGATCTACCCTCTTGCTCAGAAGTCGAACATGAGATCGGACTGCTGAAGCTAAACAAATCCGCGAGACCAGATGATCTTCCTCCAACCCTCTTCAAATTCGGATACTCTGCTCTTGTTGATGCTTTACATGAATTACTAGTAAAACTGTGGGAGCAAGAGACTGTCCCAACCGACTGGAGCCGCTCCGTTATTGTTCCCATCTCCAAAGGCGACTCGCGCTCGGAATGCGGCAACCATAGAGGAATCAGTCTGGTCTCCATCGCCTCCAAATTACTCGCCTCCATCATTCTTCACAGACTGACTGGCGCTCGTGAAAGCCAGATTCGTGAGGAGCAAGCCGGGTTTCGTTGTGGTCGTGGCTGCATCGACCACATCTTCATTTTGTGTCAGTTGTTGGAGCACCGTCACACATATTGGCGGCCCACCGTAGTCGTGTTCCTCGACATCAAAGGTGCCTTCGATTCGGTTGATCGATGTGCCCTTTGGAATTGTTTACCTAGGAAAGGTGTGCCCAAGAAATATGTAAATATTATCCAAGCATTATATGCGCGTAGCACAGGCAGAGTGAGGGTTTACGGCAAGCTGTCGCCACCCTTCAATATCTCCAGCGGTGTGAGACAAGGATGCCCGCTGTCACCTTTCCTATTCAACTTCGCTATTGACGAAGCCATGGAGTTTGCATTTACAGGGCATGACTTTGAAGGTGTGGAGCTACTCCCAGGAGAACGACTTCTTGACTTGGAGTATGCAGACGACATTGCCCTCATCTGTGACAGCTCCCAGACGTGCCAAGCCGCGCTGGACAGATTAGCACTGGCGGTCAGTCGCTTCGGGCTTTGCTTTGCACCATCGAAGTGCAAAGCGTTCCTCCAAGATTGGCATGGATCGCCTCCTTTGCTGACCCTTGGTGGCGATCAGCTAGAAGTCGTTCAGAAATTCAATTACCTGGGAAGTTGTATCAGCGCCCGTGGGATCGAAGACGAGATGACGAACCGTACAACAAAAGCTCGAAGTGCTTTTGCTAACCTTCGCCACCTATGGCGACAACGCGACATCACTCTCGCCCTGAAGGGTAGAGTGTACAATGCAGCGGTACGTTCGACTCTACTGTACGGTTGTGAAACCTGGCCGCTTAAAGCAGCGGACCTGAAGAGGCTAGTTACGTTCGACCACCGGTGCCTTCGTAATTTAGCACACATCTGGTGGGAACAACGCGTGAGCAACGAGCGTGTTCGACGCCTCGTTTACGGTACAGGAAAAGGATCTGAACCGCTCTGCATTGTTAAATCCCGCACCAGGCTCAGATGGCTCGGCCACGTGTTACCCATGCCAGCCCACCGGCTCCGTCGACGTGTGTTGTTTGCTCACCGGGCATGTGGGTGGAAGAAGAGGAGAGGTGCCAAGCGATGACTTGGCCCATGGGAATGAAGTCCCTCACTTCGGAGCTAGCCTCGGTTGGAGCGTCACGCCTCCCTGGTTGGGGGCCAAAAGACGGTGTACTCGTTTGGCTGGATACACCTGCTGACATGGCAAGGAGCCGACCTCAGTGGCGTTTGTGCTGGGAGTTTCTTTGTCCCTCCCCACTCCTTTTAGCCTCCCCTCCATCTACGATCTCATTTCGTAGGGTAAAACATAATAAATTGTTTTTTCTTTTTGCCCAGTAGCTGTCTGGTAGCTTACCGGAACTATGCCTATTCGTTGCTGGTAGCTCAGCTGGCATGCAACGGTTGTATCTATTTTTCATTTATGTATTGTATTATATGTATGTATGTATGTATTTCCTTCATGCATTGCGGCACAATAGCGGAGGTGTTTTCCCACCTCTAGCTGTCGTGTATAATGATGAATGATGACAAGAACCCAAAAATTAACTCACGGCGTTTTCATTGGCAGTCCAGTGAAGGATAGGCGGGGTCAAGTTCTGACTGTTTCGCTTTTGTGGGATGAGTGGAGTGGAAAAACATAGAAAATATTATGGAGAAAAACAGTCCGTGACAAACAGTACAAACGGTTACAATAAGACTACCGGTGTAGAACGGAAAGACGCATATTTATGAGTCTAAAAGTGGAAAGAATAAGCGTAGTACGATGCTAACTGGGACTTCATCTACATCTGTGGTGACAGAGAATGCCTAAGAGTGTAGACTAAAATGAAACGGATGAACTAAGTAGCCAAGAAAAAAAAACCCAGAATCAAATTAAATTAAGCTAATTCATCATTGTCACTCTCAATCAGCAGGCTAAGGTTAGTCTGGAAAAGCACCAGGCGCCGGCGGTTCGATCTTCTGGGTCTCGTCAGTGGTGCTTATCCTCAAGAACACAAATAGACAGGCTAGACACAAGAATAATGAGGTGAGGTATGGTCAATGGAAAGTTGTTTCAAACCAAAAGATGAAAATTGAGTGGAAAAAAGAAAAGTTAAAAAAACGGTGAAATATTGAAAGAAGGGTACACGCACATAAAGTCCAAAATGCTGAGAACCGCAGAGATCAATTTTTAGGCTAGGTTACTAATATCGTAATTATTTGAGAGTTCGTCTCAACAGCTTCGAAATCAGATAGTTTTCCGAATGCCCGGAAAAACATTAGACGGACTCGTTAGTGCTACGCATCCATCGACTGCATTAGGATCCCAACCCATGACTGTTGGCAGTTTGAACCGACAACCCGCAACTGAAACCACTGAGCTGTGGGGGACTGCGGCGGACCGTAAAGATTCGTTACGCAAATGATTAACATTGCAGTGAACAGGATTGGACTTGAAAAACACGACTTCCACTGACAATAGCTATGTATGAGTTAGCCTTGAGAAACTGTTCGACCGAATAATTTTTGTACTCATGAGTAGAGGATGTATGGAGTAATTGTTTTTGGTAAGTAAAACATCCCGGAACCCTATAGTTATCCGCTCAGTATATATATATATATATATATATATATATATATATATATATATATATATATATGGTTGGTGGCATCCGGTTTCGGATTTGCCTGTCACTGTGGTCAACCACAGGACGCCTGCGCCTACAGAGGGACCATAGATGGCTTGCGCTGTAACACCCACAGCTCCATCCACACACCCCATATCCAGTGTAAACCCGAAGGAATAAAACCGTGAGGCATGCGGATGGGAATCACGTTTTATCAACGGAGCCGGCCCACATTCCTTCACAGGCAAACACAAGCACGCTGTATTTGGGAAATCAAGAGCACACAATGCGGTGGCTGGACCGTAGTCCGCTCCACACTGAGTGCATGGAACCACTCTTCGAGCCTAGCACGGCCACAAGGACCGTGTACCCCATCCCCTCCAGCAACGACCAACTGTCTCCTGGAGCCAGTATGGACGAGGTAGTGGGTAATAGACAGGTAAGCACCTCGTCAACATGCACATCAAGCGCAGCCACACCGGGGATATCAAGCAACAGCCAATCACCTGGAACGACAAGATGAAATAAAACAAATGCAATAATGCATACAGATACGGTGGCATAACTCTAAGCTAAATAAGCATATGAATTAAGTTGGTTAGCAACAAATCCGCGATAAAGAAAAAATGTCCACAAGTTAGTTAAAAATGCTACAAAACGCAACAGAGTTACGGAAGATAAGCGCAATTAATGTAAGCAACGTGGCCAGTTAATAGAAGAGTATTCAGGTAGGTAGAACAAACCAAATAAAGTGGAAAAAAGTGGAAGAAAATAAAGTGGAATATATGTATATATATATATATGCATATATATATATATATATATATATATATATATATATATATATATATATATATATATATATATATAGCCGCCGGTCCACAGAGTACGCATGGGCCGTCTAAGCCACATTTGGAAAATGTGATCCACCATAGGACGCTAGACGTGTGAGAACCGCGAGTCGTCTACGCACCTTGCTGATGGTTATAAAACTGACAAGCAGCTTTTCGCACAAAAGTGAGAGTATCACTATTTGGAAAACTAAAGCGAGACCCGTAGCAAAATAACGATGGTGAGCCATAATGCAACCAAGCGAGTTGTGAAAGCGATCTGCACTTGAAAGTGGGTATACAATGTGCAGAAAATCGTTGAAATGGATCTAGAAATGGTCAAACAGCAGGATAGTGCAATGCAGAATGTGGAAATGATAGCAGAGTAATTGAAATTTGAGATACAAATGTAAATTTGGTGGAGTTTGAACGGGAAAGCGTGAACTACGGACCACGTCGATAATCGTGCAATGTTCGAAACGGCGAAATTTGCGGGAGAAATTATAGAATCAGCTACTACAGTAAAAAGCGGTTGGGCACCAAAACACAATTCTTAGACCGCTGCAAACAGGCATGCCCAAGAGTGAATGAGACGATCAACGGTAGCAGTGCACTATCGAAGCTATGGGACTAAAAGCCGTTATTCAAGTAGAAGAAGTGTTGAATGCATAATTCAAAATTCATTAATAGATCTTGACACCAATCTAGTAAGTGTGAATGGCTGTTATTGATGCATAAGGTAATATTTGCTCTCAAGGGATGTGATGGCGTCAGGCAAAAAAAGTTACCGCCATTGAAAGACCCAAAAAAAGCGATAGGTTGTGTGCGTACGCAAAAGCATCAGTGGCAAGCAATCGCGCTTACAAATAGAAAAGATTGTCGATCATTCCTGGTACTGAGCCAACGACGAGTTTCAAAGACCAGCATATAGTATAGAAGCAGAGTGAGAGGTGGAGCAACGAAGTCAACTGTTCTGACGTTCTCTGGAAACGAAATTTCTCCGGGTTTTTCACAAGAAGTGCGCATTATATAGTATAGGCCAAGTAACCTGAGGAGAACAACCGCGTGTAGAGTTAGAAGACCACAATTGTGATCAATATAAATTTTGCTGTATATATGTACAAACTACGGGTTTGTCTGAGTGATTCGGTAGTGTATGCGAACAAGACAGCAAAATGGGGAGCAAGTACAAACATACCGGTGTGAAAAGCAAATGTTGCACATTGTGTTGCACATGTGAGTTTTGGCGACAAAGTGATTTGGCTGAATCTCATGACCTTATTTGTGAATTGCCGGTAGACACAGGGCAGAAGTACAGATGAAGCCACGGAAAAAAGACACGTAGTTAACAGACCATAGATACAACTGTTTTCGAGCTTATTCGTAGAGTCCCTAAAGTGTACCTGGACACAAAAATGATAGGGATCTAACAGCACTCGAGCACACCGCAGCGTTAAAAACTAGTGTCCGTATGGGAATAAGGAGTAATAAGTGAACGGTTATTCATGAGATAAACGTCGTTGGAAGAACAAGTATAAGCGCACTATCAAACTAACGACCACGCTGTATGGAAAAGAACTTACAATCACTACTGATTCAGATTCGTATTCGGTCAACTATCGGTAAATGAAATGCGCCTTTACAAGCCTAATGATGGTATTAGCAAGAAATAAGCTAAAAGACACAAACGAGGTAAGGGTTAGCATTATCTGGATTGCTTGATAAAACATATAGGAACGGTGCGTGTACCAATGCCTGAAAAAATAGTCAAAGAGGTGACGAGTGTGGAAGAGAATAGGCAACCGAATAATCACTGTGCATGAGGCTGTTGTGCATCGGTGAAGGTACCAGCAGTAGGCAGGTAGACTACCGTAGCATCGTTGAAGCGAGCGAGGGCTGGGGTATACCGAGAGGTCACAGATACGAACCGGTGATACCAGGAGCACAAAGCAGGCACGCAATCCCTTCGGTCAGATGTCACGGGTATTCAGGGGCTATCCGTTCGTAAACACGTCATTGTTGCACACTACTTGAAGGAAATCGAATAAGTTGGGGCAACAGTCCAGTTCGGGAAAACAACCAAAATTCAGGCATGGACCCAATTGCCACGACTTGTCGTCAAGATAACAACAGGTAACAACGGTGAAATGATGAGGTTGAATAAAGCGAAATCAAGATCAAAGTGTGTTAAACCGTTTGGGATGGCAGGAAAAGTGATAACTAGATGCAAGAAACCGAATGCAAAAATTTCAGACTGCGTGATGTCAGAGACTCAGACCATTGGTATTGACTATACCAGGGCACCCACTAATGAAAACAGCAAGCATCACCCGGGTCAACTCTCTTAGTTAATTTATTCACGCCTCTACTGCACGTCATGGACTGGCAACCTCGCTGTTTTGCCCAAATTGGTGCAAAAACGGCGTATAATGCACGCCGAGAAACAGGCATAAGGAGGAAATGGTCTAACCAACGTAGGCGATTTAGCAATCACTCGAGTGAGGCACCAGAAGACTTCTTGACAAAGATCAACCGTTGGACTTCAGCACTGCTCATCTGGTGCTCCCACCAGACGTGAGCAATAGTCCGCAAGTACCGGTGGCCAAACTCGGCTAAGCGTATAACGTCATCGCCACGAACTGGTCAGATCTCTGATACATACAGTAAGACCGACCTTAGCGCAGCTTTATACACCCTACCTTTCACTGACAGGATGGTATCCCGCCGTCTCCATTGATAGATGTCTCTGGAAAGCCACACGGGACTTGCTGATACGTGAAGTAACTTCCTCAGTGATGTGACCACCAAAGGTGACACAGAAGAGGAGAGATGGCCAAGCGATGAGTTGGTCGAAAGGAATGAAGGCCTACACTTCGAAGCTAGCCTCCGTAGGAGCGTCTCGGCTTCCCGGTTGGGATCCGAAAGACGATGAACACGTTTGGCTGGATACACTTGTTGACATGGTTAGGAGCCAACATCATTTGCGTTCGTGCTGTGAGTTTCTTTGTCTCTCTCCATGCATCTTAGCCTCACCTCCAACCACGATCTCATTACTTAGCACAATATAATTTCACATAATAAAATTTTTTGCTACATAGTAGCCGGCTGGTGGCTTTCCGGAAGAATGCCCATAGGTTACTGGTAGCAGGTGATTTGCATCTGTTGCATGCTCGTTTTGGTTTTCTACTTTTCTGTATTGCAGCACAATGGCTGAGGTGTTTCCCATATGTAGCCAACGTGTATACTGATGACAAGAAGTGATACACCTACCAAAATAAGTAAACCGATCCATCACTTCCAGAGGCTGTTCGAAGATAGCTAAAACCAGTAGCGCATCGCTCCAATCCTGCAACAGTATTTTGCATTTTAAAGGTGTAAAGAAAATGCGAAAATGTGCAGCGCTGCGTACTGGTCCATTCAGTAGTGCTTGCATATATACGGCGTCAGACTTAAGGAGAGCAATGTCGTCCGTATAAAGAATGTTAGTTTGTCGCTCGGTAGAACTTACACTTGGTAAGTCTCAAGAACGAAATCAATCGCGAGCATTTCAATTAGAAAGCTGAAAATGCGATGGAATATAGGACAACCTCCCTTGACGTGCGGAACTCGTAAGTCAGATTTGTGTAGACACTTATGCCGCGTAGAGTCACGGCACAATGGCAGAATACGAATAAAAGCTAAGACTTGACAGTTCGCGTGGGATGGCATTGTGAAGTACGTAAGCTCAAAAAAGTTATAATAAGGTGAAAGGCATCTGTGCACTCGCCACATGATCGGCAGCATCTGGGTCCAAATTTGCCGGTCACTGCGGCCTCCATACGACGCCGACAGAGGTACCATGCGTGGCTTGCACTGCACCACCCACAGTTACATCCACACACACCATACCCAGTGTAAATCCGAAGGAATAAGACCGAGAGGCATGTGGATTAAAGCCACGTTTCATCAACGGAGCCGGCCCACGCATCTTTAACAAGCACAACAGCAGTATTGCTGTTTATCAAAACGGGGAATCATGCGTACCAGACGTACACAAGGCGGTGGCTAGGCCGTAATCCGCTCCGCATTGGATGGAACCACTCTTTAAGTCTAGCAAGACCACGAGGACTATGCACCTCGTCTCCTCCCCCAGCAACGATTCGCAATCTCCTGGAGCTAGTAACCGAGTCGAAAGGTGTTAAATAGGTAGGCGCCTTGTGAACATGCACAGACAGCGCAGCCACATCGGGGATATCAAAAAACCGACAGGATTCGAAGAAAAATAAATGCGCAAAATTGACATGGATTATGCAACAGAATAACAGAACTGAGCAGATGAAATAAAGAAAAATAGTTTTCATCCGGATTAAGACGATCTAGTCTAAGTAGAGGTCGGTGTAGCCCAACTGCGGTGAAGCATGCAAGGTCAAGTTAAGCATGAGGATTGGTGAGCATAATGTTTGTTTGAGTCCTGTCGTTAGACGATGAACAGAATTCGAATAATTGCATTTGGTGTAATGTATCGTCAACTCGTATTATAATAAGTAGCGTTGGCGCAGAAATGACAAAGTCGAAAGTGCGTTCCACCGCTGAAAAATTTGAAGCTAAAAACAATTCCGGCGGCATTCCAGCCAACTGCATTGGGTGGCTAATTTCAGCTAGTGACTCCTCAAGTTTGTGTTGCGGCTAAGTTTCAAGAGGTGGCGGAAAGCGTCATCGGTTTTTCAAGATCTAGTACATAAGAATGAGGTCGCCCCGTAGACGGTGATAAGGTCCGTTGTAAACTCTAAGGGCTTTCAGCCGCAGATGGTATGGCAGGTGGAATAATCCCGTCACATTTTTGGTTTCCCTTCGCTGTGGAGTCTCCATTGCAACCATATCGCGTTATAACCAGGGTTATCCGGCCTGAAATGCGTACTCTACATGAGGCCTCACATGCGCAGTGAGCATTTGAGGAAAAATGGAGGGGTCGAATCACCCGAACGCCTTCCGAAAGTGACCGGTACGTTGATTCGCGGTTCTAGACGCCTTCAAAGACTGCGCCGAATAGCCGAGGTCTTCTTGCATCAACATCCTAAGGTCGTGCTTCCGTGAGGCGATCTGTAAGATATGATCTTCAAGCTTATATGCGTTGGTGGACACTGCTCGAGTTGAGCGGAAGAAGTTGCATTCGACCATACAAAAGCACGGTCTAAGTCTCGTTCTAGTAGATCGTGATATTCCTAACTTCCGGTCGCTCGATATATTTTGATGCCTTCGGCAAAAGACAGGAAATTCGGCTCGATGACATGCACGATGTCGTTAATGTACGCCAAGAATAAGCGCGCCCCAACACTGACCCATGTGGAACACCACACTACACACCAACTGGATCAACAAATGAGCCCCGAACCCGAAGACGTCCGTGAACGAGGAAAATTCCGATCCATTCAAGAAAAGCAGCTTTGGAGAAGGAGGCGGTGATTTAAACTGTCGAGGGTTTTAGAAAAGTCGAGCTAGATGACATCAGTTCTAGTCCCGTTATCTGAGATTTCGGTTCAACTGTCACGCGCAATCAGTAGGTCGGTAATAGATGACCAATGCTGACAGAATCCGTGATAATGCATCTTTCTAGATGGCCCATTAATGCCTTGGTTATAATTGACTCCATCATAGTTGAGAGCACCGATAGTTAGCGGACTTTAAACGGCCACCACCCTTGAAAATTGGAGTAGTGACATCCAGTTGTCACATGCTGAGAACTTGCTGTTCACCCAGTAAGTTAATGGCTCGGATATCCTGGTAGCTGCCACCTGCAGTACTTTCGAAGGTATGTATTCAATACCGGGGGAACTATGGGTGCACAACGATAGCAGCTTTCTCAAAACGGTCGCTGAACTAAAAAGGACGTGACGTCTGGGGAATGGGATAGGCATGTGACGCAAGCTGGTGAAGCGTCGGAATATTGGAGCGCGTTGTAGCCGTAGAACGTTAGCCTCATCCTAGGCGGTTTGATCACGTCCGCTTCTGAGATAAGTGGCGGAACACCATGCTCCACATTCTGAAGACTGTCCACATGTTTTTATAGGA